TCTCCATCCTGGGAATCCACGACCGCGGCTCCCTCCCCCCCACGGCTCCTCCCTCCCACTTTCTGGGAAAAGTTACTGATACTCAAGCACGAGCGAGCGCCACGTCCCAACAAAGCCACCCGGCCTCACGCACCCTCCTCAGCGTCGCCTTGTGCCAGTCTGGCCCCCAGCCCCTGGCGCCCCGGCACGGAGACACCTGCACTCCCCGTGGTGTGTACTGCTCCTGACCATGGGGGCCACCAGCCCCCCCCGCCCCGTGTGTCCCCGGGGCTTGGCCGGGAGGGAGGGAGGGAGGCCACGCTCCAGGTACCTCCAGACCAGAGTGGCTCCACACCATGCCGTGTCAGCGTCCTGAGGCCACCGCAGCAAAGTGCTTAGGACCGCAGGAGGGCGCTCGCTGTTCCTTGTCCGGGGGCCATGCTCTTGCGGCGTCTGCCTCTGCCCTCCCCTCTGAGCATCTTCTCCCTCTTTCTACAGGGACACATTTCGGGTGGACATGGATCTTGGAGGCACACTATTCAACCCACCAGTCTGTCCTCTGACCCCCTCAAAGGTCACTTTGGTCTCGTGTTCAGAGTATATCCTCCCCAACCCCGCAGCTCCCGGGGTCTTAACCCATTCCAAAAGGGAGACGGACAATGGACGGAAGGAGGGAGTCACTGGTCCCAAGCAAGTCTGAAGCCCGGCGGAGCGGGCGGCAGAGACTTCAGGGCCTGGGAATAATCCTCTGGCCCGATGCTCCATCGCCCGGGCACGTGGCGGTGGCCCTGCTCTCTGGGGCCCTGGGCACCCCGCCGGGGTTCACGCCACCAGACAAGAGGCCCCACAGACCTCGCCTGGGACCCCACCTCTGCCCCTGTGCTGGGCTCGTGGGTCACACCCCCAATCTCTCCAGCAATGGGTGTTCCCACAGCACCTTCGGTGTCTCTTCAGACCTAATTTAACAATCTGGGCAGGTTCCCTTTTGCCCAACAGCCCCTCCCCCACTTGTCCCCCCCCCCCCCCCCAGGTTTTACCACAAGCAGCTTCGCTTGGAAATGTCCTCAGCTAAACATACAAGTTCGTCCCTTATGATGTCTCCTTTGCACTCCACCCGAGAGCACGGTTCAGCCCGGTCTCTGCCACCCTCACTTCCCCTGAGCCTTCCTCGTCCCTATTTCTACCGGGGAGCTCTTGGAGGACATCGAGGCATTTTCCATCACGTGCCCCAAACTCGTCCGTTCCCAGCTCCACAGCCGCTCCCGCTGTCCAGCCTTTCTGGGCCCAAAATTGGCCCTGCATGGCTGGAGATGTGCAAAGTGCCACAAAGTTGCCAACAACAGAAGTTAAACTCATCGGAACAACAGAAATGTATCCTCTCTCCGTTCTGGAGGCCGCGACCCCAGGGTCAAGGTGTGGGCAGGGCCTCACTCCCACTGGAGGTGCGGGGGAGGGCCCTCCTGTGCGTTCCGCCCCGATGGCTCTGCCGTCTCCAGATCTCCACCAGGCTCAGCTGCGCCACCCAGAATGTCTTCTCCTCTTCTCATACAGACCCCATTATGGGCTTAGGGTCTCCTCCATCCTATTTTAACTAGCAACATCCGCAAAGACCTTATTGCAAACAATGTCACATTTCAAGGTTCCAGGTGGACATGGATTTGCGGGGAAACCATTCAACCTAAGATACCTGTGTTGGCTTGTTTCCCTTCTCCATCTTATTCTCCACCACTACAATTTTCCTAGGTGGCCCCCCAAATAAATTCCTTACATTCAACCAGTGTAGCAAGATCTGTTACTGAGAGAACCTTACCTGACACGGTCCCCCGCTCCGAGCTCCTGGGGACCCACCGAAGACAAGCCCTCCCATGCTGAGCTGTCGTGTACCCCTCTGTGGGTGGGTGAGGATGCTGGCCCCTTCCCACAAGGTTTTGGGAGGACATGGGAGAGAATGCTGTGGGCTCTGGGCTGAGGGTCACATGCACTTCCTGCTCTGGGGAGTGGGGGCCCTTGGGAGTGACCCCAGTATTTTTCTTGAAGTGGGTGGGCTGCTCAGTTGTCAGCAGTGGTCCTGGTGCCCCTGGGGCAGATGTCGTTTTGGGGGTGTCATTTGCTTCTCTGGGTCTTGACAAGGCACAGGGAGGCCGAGCCCCCCATCAAGGGTGGAGACTTGCCTCGCAGCAGAGAGCTGGCCTTGGTGGGAAAGGGGACAGCCTGTCCGTCCCAGGGACACCGCCAGCCCACATTCAGGCGGGGAGACAGGGCCAAGGCAGGACATGGTGGAGGCTGCATGCTCGTCCCTACAGACGGTGGCCACGGGGTGGGGCGGCAGCGCTGAGCAGGACATCTCACTCCACGTGATTTATTCTCACACAGCCGCTTCGGAGGAAGGCAGAGATGCGTCTGCTCCCCAGTCCCGGTTTGGCCATCTGGCCCCCACACCGCCAAAGGCTGGGGACCATGGGGACCAGCCCCGACCAGGGACGAAGGAGGAGAGAGGTGGTCTGCGATGCTCCCACCAGGGCTGCCAACAAGGCTTGGAGGCCTGAGCACACAGGGCTGGAGAGGGGCGCCTGCAGGCTGCACCGGGGCCGTCGGCCGGGGTCCCCATCAGTGCTCTGCACCCACACGGGCCCAGAAGTCCAGCCAGCCAGCGGGGCTGGGCTGGGCCTGGCAGGCCTTGGAGCCAGCAGGGTGGAGGAGGCTGGTTTCCAGGATGGAATGTGCAGAATGGCGGGCAGGCACCTGGCTACACCCCACGACGTGTCCTGGCGCCACCCACCTCCTTGGGCCCTCAGTTTTCCCCTCATAAATTGGGAGCAGCAATGGGTGTGAGGCCGTTTGGCCCGGGAGCAGCCGGCCTCTCATCACAGCTGACTGCTTCCGGAACACCGGGAGCCCCTGGGACCCCTCAGACTCTCCTGGGGACCCCCTGGAACCCCTCAGGACCACGGGAAGCCTCTTAGGGGTCACGGCCACATCATCTGGGGAAGATGGAGATGCTGAGGTGACAGGTGGACAGGCCTGGAGCGAATCCCTCTGGAGCACCCAAGAACAGCGTCCCCAAGCCTTCACCACAGCTGTTGGCAGATAGAGCACCTGCTATGAGCCAGGCCCCATTGTGGGTTCTGCGTCCTGCCCTGGGAGCCTCTGTGCTACATGGGGGGTTCAACAACAGGGCACATATCTGAGCAAACAGTGGAGAGGCTGATGCGCAGCGCATCCAGCAGGGTCTCAAAAAGACCAGCGGGAGGTGGGAAGGAGGTGAGTCCAGGGCTGGGGCCAAGGGCCTGGGTGTGGGGTGTGGGGGACAAAATGAGGCCAGATGTGTGCAAGGACCAGGGTCTGCAGGGCGCGGTCCAACCCCGTGCCAGAAATCCACAGGAGGCGTGCCCGCTGTGCCCACTGCATGAACAGGTGGATGAAGACTGAAGGAATGACCACCAGCTGAGCCCCTTCGCTTGCTTGGGGCAAGTGTATTTCCCTCTCTGGGCCTGTTTCTCTACAGCGAAGACACCTCTGGGCAGTAATTCTTCTCAGCAAGTGGCTGGCTCCTTCCGCTTTCCAGGACCGCAGGGGATGCCACCAGCAACCGCTCTGGGCCTCGTGAGGATGTGTGTTCTGGCAGTGGGGTGGTCAGCAGGCCCTGGAACCCTCGACGGGAACCTGGGCTCTGAGCACCATGCAGGTGGTGGAGAGGCCCCTGTGCGCTCACCTCTCCCGTTCCTGTCCCTTTGTCCTCCACTCTTCCTCCCGTGGAAACCGCTCAGGCAGACCCCTCGCTCCCAGCACGGCCCCTGGGCCCGGCATCAGGCTGGGCAGGTGGGCACTGCAGACCCTGTCCCGTCCTCCCGTCAGGATCCCAGGGCCTCCTTCCCCACTGGCCCCATTCCCCACAGGAATGGCCTCCTGTGCCTGCAGGGTGGGGGCTGCTGGTGGGACGAGGAGGAAGCAGGTGGAGAGGCTGAAAGCCTCTGCCCTCCGTGGGTGGGCAGGAGCCCAGGCCCTGGGGACAGACGTGCCGCTGGGGGAGTCATCTCTCCAACAGCTGCAAGCCGTAGCCTCTGACTTGCCCATCACAGCTCTTCCTGGAGACCTGCTGGGCGCCCGGGGCCCGTCTCCATCTGCACCCCGACCGACCCCACAGCAGCCAGCCAGGCCCGTTCACACTCCCAAGTCCACCCTGCGGCCCCCACCTCTCAGAGGAATGCCAGAGGAGATGCTGGGGAGACCCGGGGCCAGGCCCTGCGGCCCCCAGCCCGCTCTGCTGGCCCCTCGTGGAGCACCCACGAGAAGGGTGGTCTCCCAGGGACCTCCCCTCCTCTGACCGCTCCTCCCACACCTGGGCACCACTCCCCACACTGCAGGAAGTGCGGCTCCACACGGAGGGAATTCCTTCCCTCACAGCCTCAAGGCCTGGTCCAAAACGGGCAGCGGGGGCATGCCTCCCGGGCCTGCTGCAGCCACAGTCTGTGGGGCTATGCTGGCCCCCGGGCTCTCCCATGGACTGCAGCGGACTCTGCGGGGGGCAGCACGCCTGCTTCAGAGCTGCCCCGCGAGGGCAGGGCCCACCTGAGGTCACCATGGGAACCTGCGTGTGGAGACCCCAGGCTGCTCGGCAGGAGGACAGGGCCCAGAGAACTCACTGGGGGGCCGGCCAGGAAGACCCCAGGTGGGCACCTGCTATGGGGGGCCTAGTTTCACCTCCAACCCCAGTGGAGCGTCGCCATACCCAGCGGGTCAGTCCCAGCTGCTCCCTCAGTCTGGAGTTCTGGGACTCGCAGGACCTCCTATGACTCAGTTTCCTCAGCTGTCAAGTGGGAACGTTCTGGACAGGGTGCCCCTGAGAAGAGCCCAGTAGGCCTGTGGACGTAGGATGTGCTCAGTGAGCGCAGAAAGCAGAGGTCGGAGGAGAAGGGACCAGGGAGAGGGGCCAGCTGGGCCCGGGTGCTTCACTGTCTCCCCCACCCACAGCGGTGGAAGCTGCCCCCGCAGGCCTAGCTGTGCCCTCACCCTCTCCCCGGCCTGACCACCGGCCGGTCCACCTTGGGGCCCTGCCCTGAGGCTGTGCCCAGCTGCTGGGTCCCAGCATTTATTTTTGCAGACCAGCACCGCTCGCGGCGGGCCAGGGACACAGACACAGATCTCCGCCCCCACGTGACGCAGGGGCAGGCCTCTGCTGGCCTCCGCGGAGTTTCTCAGGGAGGTCAGGGATGCCCCTGGCGACCACCGGCCCCTCCGAACAGGGAGGCGGGCTGTGGGACCAGGAGCTGGCAGAGGAGGGAGGTGGGGTCCGGGGCCAGTCACAGTTCAGCTCACGTGGTACAGATGGCATGAGGCGGGCGGCAGGGAGGAAAAGCATGGCTGCAGACCTCCACCAGGGTCCCCGGGCACCCCCAGGACACTCCTTCTGCCTTCCGGAGCTGGCTGCCCCGCACTGGACAGTCCGTCTGCACCCTGCTCCAGGCCACGCTACTGGGGCTCTTCGTGGACACATGCTGGGTGCGTGGGCCTGTTCCTCTGCTTCAGGGAGGTCCCTCCAGGGTCAAGTGCCCTGTGGCCTGTCCGCCCCCAGCAGTCTGGGAGCTCCGCACGCCAGCACAAAGCCTCCGACACCACCTGCCGGGTGGGCACAGGCCCTGCTGTGGGGGCCGCAGAGCTGGGACACCTGGCCGAGGCTCTGCTCACGGGGCCGCCAGGCCCGGGTCCCCGCGGGCAGCCGCGCTCAGGGCGTCCAGCCAGTGCTGCCGCAGGTCCGCTGACAGGGCGCTCAGGTACAAGGACCGCTGGGCCTGCTGTAGCTGCCACACATGCCTGGTGTCCGGCCCCTCCACGGGGTCCAACACGCTCACCATGCAGCCAGAGAGGGGGATGGTGCGTGGCGGCCAGCCGTCCTGCAGCAAGGGAGAGCTAGGTCAACACCTGGCCTCTGCAGTCCTGGCCCACGGAACACTCTTTCCCACGGGTGACTCTGAGCAGCCGGGGAAACCGAGGCCCAGGATCACAGGAGCCTGAGCAGGGGTGGTCCCAGGCAGCGTGGCCCAGGCCCCTCTGCGCACCATGGGCCTCAGGCTCTGGGTTGCGAGGATCGGGGCACACCCCCAGCACGACCCCGGGGGCAGGTGGGGGACGCACCTGGCTGTCTCCCTGCAGGTGCAGCACCAGCTCCAGGGGGTCTGATGCCGGGATGGTGGCCCACACCTCGCTCCAGGCCACACCGTTATCGGACACCTGCAGGGAGCTGCAGAGCAGGCTGGGCTGGTGGTCCACAGCCACTGGCTTCTGGAGACAAAAAAGGAAGGGCAGGGGCAGCCTCTCTGCAGGTGTCACCCTCATGGGCGGGGGCAGGTCTTGCCTCCTGGGAACATGCTGGACAAGAGCCTGGGCCAGCCTGACCTGTCCCAGGGTCACCACAAGGCCTCTGGGTATCAAGCTGGACCCTCCAGGGGACTGAGACTATGAGTGGCTCAAGGCCAGAAATAAGGAAAAAATAGGGAAAATGGAAAAGCTGGAACCAGGGTGTGGCTCTCAGGGAAGGGCTGTGTTTCAGTTGAACACACACCAGGCACCTACCACGTATGCACACATACTGCGCGCACCAGACACCTAGCACGTGCACACACCACGCCCACCACGCACCTACGTGTGCACACACTGTGAACACGCGCACCACACACCTACCACATGTGCACACACACCGCGCCCACCGCGCACCTACGTGTGCACACACCACGCCCACCACACACGTAGCACGTGCACGCACACGCACCGCACCTACGTGAGCACACACACCGTGAACACACGCACCACACACCCAGCACGTGCACACACCATGCTCACCACGCACCTACGTGTGCGCACACTGTGAACACACGCACCACACACCGCGCCAACCGCGCACCTACATGTGCACACACCGTGAACACGCGCACCACGCACCGTGCCCACCACGCACCTACGTGTGCACACACCGTGAACACACGCACCGCACACCTACCAGGTGCACACACACACCATGCCCACCACGCACCTACGTGTGCAAACACACACCACGCCCACCACACACCTAGCACGTGCACGCACATGCACCACGCCCACCACGCACCTACGTGTGCACACACACCGTGAACACGCGCACCATGCACCTACCACGTGCACGCACACACCGCACCCACCACACACCCAGCACGTGCACGCACACGCGCCGCGCCCACCACACACCTAGCATGTGCACACACGCACCGCGCCCACCACGCACCTACGTGTGCACACACCACGCCCACCACGCACCTACGTGTGCACACACCGTGAACACGCGCACCACACACCGCGCACCTACGTGTGCAAACACACACCACGCCCACCACACACCTATGTGTGCGTACACACCGTGAACAGGCGCACCACGCACCTACCACGTGCACGCACACATCGCACCCACCACACACCCAGCACGTGTATGCAAACGCACCGCGCCCACCACGCACCTACGTGTGCGCACACCGTGAACACAACCACACACCTAGCACGTGCACGCACACACACCGCGCCCACCGCGCACCTACGTGTGCACACACACCACGCCCACCACACACCTAGCACGTGTGCACACACACTGTGAACACGCGCACCACACACCCAGCACGTGCACACACACACACCGCGCCCACCACGCACCTACGTGTGTGCACACACTGTGAACACGTGCACCACGCACCTACCACGTGCACGCACACACCGCACCCACCACACACCCAGCACGTGCATGCACACGCACCGCGCCCACCACGCACCTACGTGTGCGCACACCGTGAACACACGCACCATACACCTAGCACGTGCACGCACACACACCGCGCCCACCGCGCCCCTACGTGTGCACACACACACCACGCCCACCACACACCTACCACGTGCACACACACACCGCGCCCACCACGCACCTAGGTGTGCACACACCGTGAACACGTGCACCACACACCCAGCACGTGCACACACGTACCGCGCCCACCACGTACCTAGGTGTGCACACACCGTGAACACGCGCACCACACACCCAGCACGTGCACACACCGCGCCCACCACACACCTACGTGTGCACATACACTGTGAACACACACACCGTGAACACGCGCACCACACACTCAGCACGTGCACACACACACCGCGCCTACCTTGCACCTGTGTGCACACACCGTGAACACGCGCACCACACCAAGAACGTGCACGCACACGCACCACGCCCACCACACACCTACGTGTGCACACACCGTGAACACGTGCACCGCACACCGCGCCCACCGCGCACCTACGTGTGCAAACACACACCACGCGCACCACACACCCAGCACGTGCACGCACACGCACCGCGCCCACCACGCACCACACACCTAGCACGTGCACGCACACACACCGCGCCCACCGCGCACCTACGTGTGCACACACACACACCACGTGCACCACGCACCTACGTGTGTGCACACCGTGAACACGCGCACCACACACCTAGCACGTGCACACACACACCACGCACCTACGTGTGCACACACCGTGAACATGCGCACCACACACCGCGCCCACCGCGCACCTACGTGTGCATACACACACCACGTGCACCACACACCCAGCACGTGCACGCACACGCACCGCGCCCACCACACACCTAGCACGTGCACACACGCACCGCACCCACCACGCACCTACGTGTGCACACACATCGTGAACACACACACCGTGAACACGCGTACCACACACCCAGCACGTGCACACACGCACCGCGCCCACCACGCACCTACGTGTGCACACACCGTGAACACGCGCACCACACTCCGCACCCACTGCGCACCTACGTGTGCACACACACACCACGCGCACCACACACCCAGCACGTGCACGCACACGCACAGCGCCCACCACGCACCTAGCACGTGCACACACACACACCACGCGCACCACGCACCTATGTGTGCGCACACAGTGAACATGTACACCACACACCCAGCACGTGCACGCACACAGTCTGTCCTGGCACAAAGGGCAGCAGCGGCTCTGGGAACACAGCCTGCAGAGGCTGCCAGGGACAGGGCCCCCGTCAGGAGGCTCCCAGCGTCTGGCCTGCCTACCTCCGTGCTGTGCTTGGGCCCCTCGGCTGCCGCCTCAGGGCTGGGGCTCTCAGGTACCGCCTGCTGCGTCAGGAAACACTCTCGGCAGACGCGGCTCTGCCTGCCATTCTCAGCCTTGAACTCGGAGCACTTCCCACAAATGACCTGCAGAGCAGAGGGCACCTGTGACCCCGCCTCCTGGGGACAGAAGACCGTCCAGAAGAGGCTGGAGGGGCCACAAGGCCAGGAGGGACATAGCATATGGAGAGGAAGGGCTTCTCTGCAGGAGACTTGTCAGAGGACAGGGACCCAAGTGCTGGCCATCCAGGACTTGCCTCCTCTTCTGGAGGGTCCCGGGGTCTGTGTGCACAGAAAGAAGACTGGGAAGAGGCACCAGGCATATGGAATGATGCTCAACATCACTAATCATCAGGGAAATGCAAACCAAAGCCACAGTGAGATATCAGATACCACCTCACACCTGTCAGGATGGCTAGTACCCAAAACACAGACAATAAGCGTTGGTGAGGATGTGGAGGAACCAACCCCTTGTGCACTGTTTGTGTGAATGCAAGATGGTAGTGCTGCTGTGGAAAACATATCCACTCCCCACAAAACACTGAAAATAGAGTTACCCTATGATTTAGCAATTTCCATGATTTCTACTGATTTCTATTTCTATTTGTGGTTGGACTCCTGAGTGGATGGATGGATGGATGATGACCCACCCACTCACCCATCCATCCACACATCCACCTATCCATCCATCCTCCATTCACCCACCCACTATCCATCCATCCATCGATCCACCCACCCAGCATCCACCATCTGTCCATCCTCTATTCACCCATCCGTCATCCCATCCAGCCACTCACCATGCATCCACCCACCCACCTGTCCACCCACCCATCTATCCTTTATCCACCCACCCTCTACACACCATCCATTCACCCACCCATCCATTCATCTATCCACTTACCTATCCACCCACCTATCTGTCCATTCATCTACCTATCCATCCATCCATCCATCCATTCATCCATCCATCCATCCATCCACCTATCCAACCATCCTCCATCCATCCATCCATCCATCCATCCATCCATCCATCCATCCATCCATCCTCCCTCCATCCATCCATCTTCCATCTATCCACTACTCACACACCCATCCATCACCCATCTATCCATTCATTTGAGGACTCATCCATTTATGTCTCCTTCCCCCAGTGTTTTAAGGTTTCATGCAAAGGCATGACAATGAACACCACACCCGGCACAGTCTGCTGATGCCTTTTGGAAAACCAGTTCTAAGGCAGTTCTGTGCTAAGACCCACCTGCTAACATAAATTCCATTTTAATAACCTAACCTAGAAACATTTGAATCAACAAGAGTCCTTTTACCAGGAATAACCTTCCCTTTCAATATCAAGCCCATCCTAAAGAGAAAGGGTTTTGGGGGGCTCTGTGAGGAGAAATGGAGATGGTGATCACTTGGGGTGCCAGCTGAAGGTGGCCCCACATCCCACAGGCCCAGTCAACCTTCAGCACCCTTGGAGCACCTGGATCAAAGTGGCAGGAGGGAGCTCCCCGCATGGCTGCACCCCGCACCTCCCCAACCCCTGCCTCCTCACAGGGCAGGAGGTCACTCTCACCCCCTCCTCCCAGCCACCCAGCGCTGAGCTCTGTGGTTCCAAGTCTGGCACTTTCGCAACCACAGCAGTGTTGGTCAGACACCGGAGCTGACCAGAGAAAGGGGGTTAGCGTCGACTTCAGACGGGATGGCGCCGGTCTGCTCGTGGTGGGCGGAAGCTGCGCGGAGCTGTGCCCACCCACACTCACCGCCCCACACAGCTTGCACCGATGCTTCCTCTTGGTGATGGAGTTGAAGGTCTCGCCACAGCTCCTGCAGCCCTGCTTCTCCTTGTCGCGCCTGGTCTTAGCGGACCCTCTCCTGGGCTCGAGCTACGGGAGACACGTGTGCAGGGGCAGCTCAGTGAGCACGCGGACGGTGCATGCAGAGCAAAACGCAGGAGGGAACGAAGCTGGGGTGTCGTCACCTCAGCCCCTGCCCAGCCCTGCTCCCCAGGCTGCCCTGTGGTCACCGTCACACACGCCGAGGGCCTAAGTGGGTCTGGAACTCTGCCTGGACCCACCTGGCCCACAGGGAGGCCAGCGACAACCTGGTGGGTCTGAAGAGACGGGGCCCAGAGCCCGCGCTGGGGAATGGTCTGCCCAGCCTGGCGTGGCCTGCTCCGTGGGCCCGAGGCTCGGGGCTGCCCTGGGCCCACCTGACCGCTCGAGGGGCGGGTTGGGGCTGCGCTCCCCTCCACCTCCGCCAAGCTGTCTGGTCCTCCCACCCAGGAGCTGACAAGGGGAACAACAGGAAGTCAGGAAACTCAATGTGGTTTGTGTTCAGAGAGCTTAAACAAGCTTTAGGACAAGTCATGAGAACACTGCAAATGCCTTTCAACAAGCTGGGCCAGGTCCGCAGGAACCTCAGACCCCTTGCAGAGGGGGGGCGGGCTGGGAGGGCAAGGGCAGGGCTCACTTTCCTCCATCTCCTTAGTCTTTACAAACAAGCGCTGATTTCCCTCTTTGTCAAACACGTATTAACTCTGATGCGTCCGAAACTAAGGGAGCGGCCTGGGCACGCCAGGCAGAGTCGAGGCCACAAAGGGGACGTGGTTTAAAGCTGGCCCTGGTGCGGCTCAGGGAGAAGGACCCAAGGGCAGAGCGGCTCAGGCAGAGAACAGAGCTTCTGCCACAAAGGGGATGGAGGAGCAGAGAGACGAGACGGGGAAGCACACCCAGACGCGCCTCCTCGCCGTTTGCGGCCAGGGGAACCTTCTAGCGGTTGTTCGACAAGAACATCTTGCAAAAGAGGAAGAAAGGCGGTAAACAAGTAGAAAGCAGACCGGACCCCTGCCCCGTCGCCGCCACCCAGCCGCACCGTGGAAGCTGGCCGGGGGGGAGGGCGGGGCTGCGTGCTGTGCCCCCGGCCCCAGTGATACCACTTGTGTCCGGGACCCCAGCCCCACGGAGGCAAGGGCTTTCACATGAGCAGGGGCAGGCGGGAGCAGGTGCAGCATGAGGCTTCGGTGGGGGCTCAACGGGGTCGCCGGCTGAGCCTCGGTTTCCCCATCTCGGGAGGAGTTGTACAAGGTGGGGGACAGCCCCCAGGCCCTGCCCTGCCCCTCATCAGCCATGAGACCACGGATGATGGTCTCCTCTCTGAGCCTCAGTGTCCCCACCTCTACGGTGGGGTTAGTTCATCACTTCACGTGGATCCTGACTTTGCCAAGCTCCCCTTACGTCCCCACTTCTCTCCACCCGCCTCGGGTCCCCTCTCCTGGAGACCATCTCAGGACTGCTCAGGGCCAGACATGGGAGGGGAGCTGCCTGGGGCCTGGGCACAGGCAGGGAAGGAGAGACGAGGGGAACTGGCCATCCTTGAGGCCTGCCATGGCCCAGCAGCCCCCACCCTACCCTCCACCATCCCTCAGGGTGGCCCCACTGTCCCTGTCTTCCAGGTGAGGACCCCAAGGGCCTGGGAGGTGGGAGTGGTCAGCAGCAGGGTGGCTGAGCCCAAGAGCAGAGCCCCGAATCACTGATGCCAGGTGGCCACGGGGGTGTCCCGGGGGGACAGGGGCAGGACAAGGGCCGGAGGAGAGGGCTGGCCCATGAGGGCCGGAGGAGGCGGCTGTGTTGGGGCTGGGGTGTGAGGCCAGGTTCACCACCTGCAGGCCAGCAGGACAGAGGGCGGCGCAGGATGGGGACTGAGGGGCAGCAACCAAGCGGAGCCCTGCACCAGCTCCCTCGGTGCTGTGGACTGTAGCCCAGCGTGTCCACTCCGGATGCTGCTCCAGCCCGGGCCGAGCAGGCTCCCGACACGGGGGTCAGCAGCCCACCCGCACAGCTTAGGATGGGTCTTCCTGGCTCAGCACACTCCCCTTCTGGACAGGTTATCAGACGCACAGATGAGAAGGGGTGCTCAGGCTTTCTGTTTGGATGCTGGGACATCGAAAGCCCGGGTCAAGTCCTCAGACAGGTACAGAACCGCGGCATCCACGAGTCTCCACCCGAAACACCCAACGTGCTGGGGCGCGGGAGGTGGTCTCTGCCAAGGGCAGGGGTCTGATTCACGCGGGTGTTTTCAGTTCAGCACACAAGCAGGAGCACAGAAGCACAGAAGCGGAGAGAAGCGTTCAGGTAAGAATCAGGCCCCGAGGGTGGCTTGACAACCAGCCTCCGATGGCACCTCCCAGTGGGCCCTGGGTCCTGCAGGCTGTGGACAAAGGCCCTGTCCGGCCCTTCTGCTCCTTGTGGACAGCTCTGTCCAGAGCTCCAGAGGGTGGGCTTGGGGTGGAAGGGCAGCGCTAGCTTTGTGCACCCCCAGGTTGTGGCCGGCTGGTGGGCTGGGGCCTGGCTCGGCATCTTACAGGTGTGCACATGTCCCCCCACAGGTCTGAGCCCCGGGAAGCCTCTCTGTGAAGAGTTACATGACCTCTGCAGAGCACACAAGGCTTGAGCCACCTTGCGAAACTTCCTGGCCTGGGCTGAGCTTCTCTTAGGAAAGGGGGGCTTGCGGAACCGTGTGTTTGAGGACACCAGGGCTCAGGGAAGGAGACCAGCAGTCACGTGGGAGTTTACCTTCCTCTCTAAGTGTGCTAAGAACAAGCTTAAATCTACAGCAAGGATCAGTCTTTTGGTGTCAGAATGAAAACTCATTTTTTGAACACCTTCTACAAATGCACACTGAGCAGGTCTACATCAGGCCCCGTATGGCCCCACCTTCGCCCACACTGAGCGGCCCCAGGTCCAACAACAGCTCTGCTCACAGCACACACCAGTGAGAAAAGCACGGGACCACCATCTGTTACTGTGTGTGTTGTGGGTTCTGGGCAGGCGCAAAGGCCCTGGGGCAGGGTGGAGCGAGAGGAGCGAGGGCCAGGAGGCTGAGGAAGCCGCCCAGGGGGTTCACAGGCTGTGACAGGCCCAGCCCTCCCCCACTGCCCATGCCACTTCCATGCAGCTTGCCTCAATGACACTAATTACTGGGGACCGCATTCCACTCCCCAGAGCCGTGAGGCAGCTGCTCCGCTTGAATAAGGGGCTTCCTCCTGTCCTTTGGCCCCTACACCCATCATGCCCCCCAAATGCTCCATCCTTCCCTGGAGCTCAAAGCTTCTCAAGATGCTCCCAGCGCCCAGTAGCCCGAGGACATGGGTTGGGGGCCCGGGTTCTGCTCTCGTAAGGAGCGGGCGCTGCAGCGTCTGGGTGCACGTGTCCCGCCCCCCAGCACGGGCCAAGGTGGGAGACAAACGTATGCTTACTAAAAATTCAGCCCATGCCAGGAGCCCTGCCCCCTGTGGCCAAGGACACAATGGCCGCCCCCAGAAAGCCCCTTCCAGGGCCCCCTTCCCAGTGCGGGGTTTGGAGCAGAGGCTGGACCTGCCCAGCAAGCCTCTCTCTAAGGCGGGGCTGCCCAGAACAACAACCAACCCACAAGGGCGGCATAACCTCACTGGGCGAACTCTGGGCCTCGGTGCTGAATTTGGGAGGCTCATTAGCAGCTCTAGGCTGTCCGAGGGGCAGCACCAGCTGGGGGACGGGGGCCTGGGAGGTGGGGAGAGGCTGGGAGGTCGGGGAGCACGGGGGCCTCAGGAGCAAACCCGTCTGGGGCTCAGGCTGGGGCTCAGGTGGACAGCCCCAGTGTGGGCCTCCAGCCCTTCCCCACCAGCCTGTCCAGGAGCGTCCCCTGGCAGCTTGCAGAGGCCACACCCGCCTGGAGTCTCAGGGCACGCCTCACAGCAGGGCTCACGGCCGGTGGGCCAGCGGTCAGTAACCATGCCCCCCTGTACTGGACGCTCACGATGGGCAGGCACACACACTCAGCCTCTGACCTAACCACACACAGCTGGCAGAGAGGAGGGGCTCCAGCGCGTCCACGGCCTGCCCCTGGTGGGGGGACATGGCGCAGGCTGCCCAGCCCCCTCCCTGCCTGCACTGCCCCAGGTGGAGAGAAGGTGAGCAGACGTGCATGGGGGTCCTGGGCACCACTGCCCTCCTAGGCCTGCAGCGAGGACCTCCCTCCATCCTCCTGGGCCCCAGAGATGGGTCAGACACCGCCTCTGGGAAGCCTTCCCTGAGAGTACCCCTGCCTGTCCTCCTGACCCCCAGGGCCAAGGTGCTGACCTTTCCTCTTCGGATGGCCCAGCTGCCTAAGGATCAGGCACCACCTTGAGTCGTTTTAATCACGTACTTTCCACACAAGGTGAAGGGCACAGCTGCGTGACCTCCACCCAACTGACCTAACGAAGGCCTGGGTCCCAGCAGCCTCCCCCAGCCCCTCCCAACCTGGCCAGAGGCTATCACTGTGGGGACAGGTCATCTGGGGGTGGCTCGCCCCTTGACCTCACCCCAGAGGGCTCCCCAGTCTGACCCTGCCCCGGAGGGCTCCCCGGTCTGACCGCCGTCCCAGAAGGCTCTCCGGTCTGACCCCGCCCCGGAGGGCTCCCCGGTCTGACCGCCGCCCCAGAAGGCTCCCTGGTCTGACCCCGCCCCGGAGGGCTCCCCGGTCTGACCCCGCCCCGGAGGGCTCCCTGGTCTGACCTCACCCTCTACCGCCTGCCCTTGCCAAAGCTGGGGGCTCACTCACCCCTGCAGTACCCCCTCCACCGCTGGCTACCACCGCAGGCTCCTCCAAGCTGGTGCCCACCACCTGGAGGGAACAGAGACGGCCGGCAGGAGTGGGGGTCCCTGGCCACGGGCTGACATCCAGTGCAGCACTGACCACGGACAGCATCCCCCAGCCCTTCCGTCCAATCACAGGGTCAGGAGAAAGGAAATCGGGCCCAGTGTTTGCTGTGACTCTGGGGAGGCGCTCCTCCCTGGCCCAGTGTGGGACGCCCCTGGAGGCCTGCAGCCCCCCCTCCCTGCACCATCATGCCACCCTCAGGAGGCGGCCCTGGGTTCTAGCTCCATCCTCAGGCCTTCTGGGGGTGGGGGCCGCCTGGCTCCTCGGGTACCACTTTAACCACAGGGATGGTTCTGAGTCCATGAGGCCTCTGTTCAAGGCAGCCTGGGAGGGATGCAAACTTTTCTTCTAAAATATATTCAGAAAGCGAGAAAAACAGAGTAGATTTGATGCAAACATTAGGTGGCCAATAAGGCCGTGGGGAGGGCCAGCCAGGCCTGGTGCAGGGGACATGGGGTTGCTAGGCTGGGCTAGGCTGGGCATCCTTGGTTTCAAGAGTGCCTGTGGTGGGGCGCCTGGGTGGCTCAGTCATTAAGCATCTGCCTTAGGCTCAGGTCATGATCCCAGGGTTCTGGGATTGAGCCCCGCATCGGGCTCCCTGCTCCACGGGAAGCCTGCTTCTCCCTCCCCCTGCTTGTGTTCCCTCTCTCGCTGTCTCTCTCTCTCTCTGTCAAATAAATAAATAAAATCTTAAAAAAAAAAAAAAAAAAGAGTGCCTATGATGGACCACTCTGGAAAACAGTATGGAGGTTCCTCAAAAAGTTGAAAATAGAGCTACCATACGATCCAGCAATTGCACTACTGGGTATTTACCCCAAAGATACAAAAGTAGGGATCCGAAAGGGTACGTGCACCCTGATGTTCATAGCAGCAATGTCCACAATAGCCAAAGTGTGGAAAGAGCCAAGATGTCCATCGGCAGATGAATGGATAAAGAAGATATGGTATATATACACAATGGAATATTATGCAGCCATCAAAAGGAATGAGATCTTGCCATTTGCAATGATGTGGATGGAACTAGAGGATATTATGCTAATCAAAATAAGTCCATCAGAAAAAGACATGTATCATATGATCTCACTGATATGAGGAATTCTTAATCTCAGGAAACAAACTGAGGGTTGCTGGAGTTGGGGGGTGGGAGGGACGGGGTGGCTGGGTGATAGACATTGGGGAGGGTATGTGCTATGGTGAGCACTGTGAATTGTGTAAGACTGTTGAATCACAGACCTGTACCTCTGAAACAAATAATACATTATACGTTAAAAAAAAAAAAGAAGAAAAAGAAGAAGAAGATAGCAGGAAGGGAAGAATGAAGGGGGGGGAAATTGGAGGGGGAGACGAACCATGAGAGACTATGGACTCTGAGAAACAAACTGAGGGTTCTAGACGGGAGGGTGGTGGAGGGATGGGTTGGCCTGGTGATGGGTATTAAAGAGGGCACGTTCTGCATGGAGCACTGGGTGTTATATGCAAACAATGAGTCATGGAACACTACATCTAAAACTAATGATGCAATGTATGGTGATTAACATAACAATAAAAAATTAAAAAAAAAAAAGAGTGCCTGTGGTGGGAGGTGGGAGTGAGGGACCCTTACTCTGAAGGCATCAGCAGTTGTGCCCACAGGAGGGGGCTGTGGCCCAGGGGGCCCCCAATGGGCAGCTGCAGCTGACTTCCCCCACCTGGCCCTGGGCAAGGGACCCTGCCTCCTGGCTCTCCTCAGCCCCAGGGTGGCTCCGTATGAGAACAAGCGAGCTGCCCCCTGCTGATAAGATCCCAGCCCCACCTCACACGCACCTTCATGCAGCGCATTCTTCCTGCCTGCCCCGCATGAGGCCTGGCCCCCATGTCAGTGCTCAGCAAAGGACAGACAGAGAGCACTGCCCACCTGCTAGCCCCTGGTCCTTGGCACAGGGAGAGATATCAGCCCTTCTGCAAGGGGCCTGGGGCACATCCCCTCCAGGTCCCTCCCTTGACCCTAGGTCGCTGTGCTCACAGGGGAATCTGGAGCGAGGGAGGGGTCCTCGTCCTGGCTGAAGGAGCCACTGAAGGCCTTGAAGGTCTGGCTGTTCTGCCTGTGCCTCTCGATGGTGGCCTCGATGACCTGGGACAGAAACCACAGAGAACGAGGGCCCTCAGCGAGCTCGTCCTGGAGGGCAAGGACCAGCACACCGCTGTCCCCACGGACAGGTCCTGTGGTCATGCACGTCCCTGACCGACCAGACACAGGTCCCAGCCCACCCCGCATGAGGCTGGTGCCCTCCCACAGCGTTCCAGGCTGCCGCGGATGCTTCCTGGACACTCTGTGCAGATTTGCAGACATGGTTCCGTTTCCTGCATTGGCATGTCCCCCTCATGTGTTTGAATTTCCTTTTTCTCTCCTTGCGCAAATTTCTCTTCTATGAATTCTGGAAGCCACGAGGCCTTCCCAGTCAGTGCTGTACCAGGCTCCTTGCCTCAGCCTCTGCTCTGACCTTTGCCCTCATGGGCTTTGGTCTCTGTCCCCTGCGTCCCCACTGCAGCTGGTCCTGAGCCAAGTCTGCTCTGGCTACCCCAGGACAAGCACCACCTCCCTGCCTGGCTACCTCTGGAAGCACAGGTCCCACCCTCTAAGCCCAACTGCCCGTCCCACGTAATCGCTGCTCCAGCTGGCTGGCAGTGGGGAGAGGGTGATGGTCCCCTTGGGCCCTCCAGGGAGCGCAGATCCAGCCCCGGGGTGAGGGTCCCTCCCTGCTTGCCCGCCTACAGCCCTTAGTGTTGGCTTATTTACTGCGGTGCTACACAACTGAACGGACTGAAAAGCTGGTGGCGTCTGAAGGTACTCAGTGAGGGTACTTCATCACTTTAAGGCGGACGGACAGGTAGGCAATGCCTGGGGAGTCACAGGGCCACTCCATCCCTTGCTCCAGCATGAAATGACCATACTGCACAAGAATTTGGTCATCTGATTACTTTAAAATTTTAGGAGCTTCACCTGAATCCATTCTTTTTTCTCCTCTTCCGTCCTATGAAAACAAACACAGTATCTTATTAACCTGGTCTTAAACACTATTAACCACCACACTCCTCTCAATCCTGGGGCACATGCCCGAGCTGCTCACAGCCCCCAAGTGCAGCATAAGGCCTGGAAGACCGTCCTTGAGTGCTCTGGTACACTGTGGGCAGGTGTGTCCAGGTGGACTCAGGTGTGGGGTCAAGTGTGTCCACGTAGGGTCAGGTGTGATCAGATGGGGCAGGTGTGGTCAAGTGTGTCCAGGTAGGGTCAAGTGTGTCCAGGTGGGGTCAGGTGTGATCAGGTGGGGCAGGTGCGGAGTCAAGTGTGTCCAGGTGGGGTCAGGTGTGATCAGGTGTGGAGTCAAGTGTGTCCAGGTGGGGTCAGGTGTGATCAGGTGGGGCAGGTGCGGAGTCAAGTGTGTCCAGGTGGGGTCAGGTGTGATCAGGTGGGGCAGGTGCGGAGTCAAGTGTGTCCAGGTGGGGTCAGGTGTGATCAGGTGGGGCAGGTGCGGAGTCAAGTGTGTCCAGGTGGGGTAGGTGTGGAGTCAAGTATGGCTAGGTGGCATCAGGTGTGTCCAGGCCTATCCAGGTGCAGTCAGATGTGGCTAGACAGGGTCATGTATAGGCAGGTGTGGTCAGGTGTGGTCTGCAGACCCCTCTGCTGTGGATGTAAGTCAATACCTCCCTGGACCACAACAGGTCTTACAAAGATCTCACATCACTGGTGGAAATGAGAGACAGGGTCTCCCGCACACTCGCCCCAGTGAGAGCACAAGCCTGTCACACACCACAGGGGGTGTGACAATGGCCCCAAAACTTAAAGCAGATGTGCTACCCTTTGAGCGACAGCTCTACCTCAGGAATCTTTCTGACGGACAGAAGGACTAATGCACAAAACGGGTGTGAGGATTGCTGCTTGCAGCACCTTTTGCCACAGCAACCCGGACGGAGCCTGGGTGCCTGTGAGCAGGAACTGGTCGGTGAGTGTGATGGAGAATTACGTTGCTTCTGGAAATGGAGCTTGGCTATGGGATGATTTCTGGCAAATTAAGTGAAGAAAGCAAGAAGCAGAACAGGCTATACGGTAAACAGTCGTGTGTGATTTTAAAACTTGAGACACGTTCGTACACGCAGAAGTCTGGGAAGGACACCTCTGCTGGTGGGGGGAAGAGGAAGGCAGACGCTCAATTTTCATCAACTTCCCTTTAGAACGGTTACATTTTAAACGACAAATAAGAGAGTAAGATAAACCAAAAACAACACATCGCAAGATTATCGTGTTTAGAAAAGGAAGCCATCAGCTAAAACGTCAGCTCATAGCAGCAGACGCAGGGACGGCCACCCGTACCGAGTCTGCAGCTCCAGGGACCGTCTCCTTCCCGTTATGATGAACGTGTGGGCTGCATTTGGCTTGACGATATCCTGCACCTTAGAGGCCCAAGGGCCAAGGACAAAACAAAACAACCGGTTGTTTAGCGGGCCCTGAGCGGCAGCCCCGTGCTCTCAGACACGGAGGTCTTTCTTGAGGAGGAGGCAGCCAAACCCTCCCACCTGCAGGGCTTCCCAGCAAGGCAGCCAGCCACCAGCCCCGGACAAATGGAAGCTTTCTCACCACAGCACCTGAAGGCCCCTGAGAGAGGAATGGGAATCTTAAAAGGGCCACGAGGCTCTGTACCACTCTGCAGGGGTCTCTGATCCACCAGCCCCTGTGATGGGAAGCCTCCTCTCATCCCCAACACCCCACCCCCAAGACACTGGGCTGGATGGATGTGGCCCTGAGGCCCCCCACTGTCAGCACCACAGCCCGGCTGTGGGAGATGGGGAGATGGGGGCCCAGCCAGAATCTGGGATGGGGCCTCACAGCAGGAGCTTCCCAAATGCCCCAGAGTTGAGAGCTTCTGTGTTAGCACGTCTAGTTACCTACCCACCACTAATTTCTTACATAAAAACACCTACAAGAATTTCTTCTAACAATGACAAAAAACATTTTTTTCCATAGTTTTTACTTTAAAGGGTGTTTCTTAAGCTGGGGCTCAAAAATTTCAAAGTAAGAAGGATTTTTCCTGTATCACTAAGGCAAACCTTCACATTTTAAAGCTGAGTACTGGATTTAGTCAGTACTTGTAAAGTGGTGGTTAATTCAGAGCCCTCCCTACAGGAGAGGGGGCAGATTCCAGCTCTGTGGACCCTGTGCAGGAGACACTGAGAGGCTCAGGAAACAAGGGACGGCAAGGACAACACGTCACCTGGACCCTGGGCCTGCAGAACCTCATCTGGACTCCAAGACGGCCCAGGAGAGGAGAGTGTATGGACCAGGGGACCAGGAACTGGGCAGGGAGGGCACCCCGTCCACTTTCACCCCAAGCTTCGCCTTCTGGTTTGTAAATGGGGCTCTAAGCACCCACCTCATAGGAACAGAGGTTGGCCCAGACTCCAGTGCTGCCCTTTGTCCTGCAAGCACAGGGCAGCGGCACCCGGGCAGGGAGGCCAAGCAGAAGGACAGGATCCTGCTCACGTCATGCACAATGCCAGGCTGAGTGGCACTCAGAAATGCTCAGGCCACATGTGTGTCACAGACAGAACCGAAGTTCGAAAAGTGGGTGGCAGGCCAGGTGCACAGTGGTGACCACCCTCCAGCAGCCAGAGCTCAGTGTCCCCACCCTGCCCAGTGCCCTGCCAGGGGAGCTGGTGACAGGGAAGGGCTCACCCACCTGGAGGCCCGAAATGTCCATTTTCTCCCGGACACTGAACTTCTGGCCCATGAGCCGCAGTTTGGGCACACAGTAAAGGATCATGCTGTTGAACTGCAATCGGGACAGGTACAGGGTGAGGGGTGCCAGGAGGCCCGACAGAGAGGAGGCAGGCCAGGGCTCTGCAGCTGGGCTGGGCAGGGCGTGGCCCCGTGGTGAAGGGCGTGGCAGATAGTGTTGGGCACGGCTCTGTGGTGAAAGGCGTGGCGGGGAGGGCGGGGGCGTGGCTCTGTGGTGAAGGGCGTGGTGGGGAGGGCGGGGGCGTGGCTCTGTGGTGAAGGGCGTGGTGGGCGCGTCGCTCTGTAGTGAAGGGCGTGGTGGGGAGGGCAGGGGCGTGGCTCTGTGAAGGGCATGGCGGGGAGGGCGGGGGCGTGGCTATGTGAAGGGCGTGGCGGGGAGGGCGTGGCGTGGCTGTGGTGAAGGGCGTGGTGGGGAGGGCGTGGCGTGGCTGTGAAGGGCATGGTGGGGAGGGCAGGGGCGTGGCTCTGTGGTGAAGGGCGTGGCGGGGAGGGCGGGGGCATGGCTCTGTGAAGGGCGCGGTGTGGCGGGGAGGGCGTGGCGTGGCTCTGTACCAAGGGCGTGGCGGGGAGGGCGGGGGCGTGGCTCTGTAGTGAAGGGCGTGGTGGGGAGGGCGGGGGCGTGGCTATGTGAAGGGCGTGGCGGGGAGGGCAGGGGCGTGGCTATGTGAAGGGCGTGGCGGGGAGGGCGTGGCGTGGCTCTGTGGTGAAGGGCGTGGTGGGGAGGGCGTGGCGTGGCTCTGTGGTGAAGGGCGTGGCGGGGAGGGCGGGGGCGTGGCTCTGTGAAGGGCGCGGCGTGGCGGGGAGGGCGTGGCGTGGCTGTGGTGAAGGGCATGGTGGGGAGGGCAGGGGCGTGGCTCTGTGGTGAAGGGCGTGGCGGGGAGTGGCTCTGTAGCCAAGGGCACGGCGTGGCAGGAGCGTGGCTCCGTGGTGAAGGGCGTGGTGGGGAGGGCAGGGGCGTGGCTCTGTGGTGAAGGGCGGGGGGGCGTGGCTCTGTGGTGAAGGGCGTGGCGGGGAGGGTGGGGGCGTGGCTCTGTGGTGAAGGGCGGGGGCGGGGGGCGTGGCTCTGTGGTGAAGGGCATGGCGGGGAGGGCGGGGGCGTCGCTCTGTAGTGAAGGGCATGGTGGGGAGGGCGGGGGCGTGGCTATGTGAAGGGCATGGCGGGGAGGGCGTGGCGAAGGGCGTGGTGGGGAGGGCAGGGGCGTGGCTCTGTGGTGAAGGGCGTGGCGGGGAGTGGCTCTGTAGCCAAGGGCATGGCGTGGCAGGAGCGTGGCTCCGTGGTGAAGGGCGTGGTGGGCGCGTCGCTCTGTAGTGAAGGGCGTGGTGGGGAGGGCAGGGGCGTGGCTCTGTGGTCAAGGGCGGGGGCGGGGGGCGGGGCTCTGTGGTGAAGGGCGTGGCGGGGAGGGTGGGGCGTGGCTATGTAGTGGGGGGGTGGGAGCCGGGGGCGGGGCCTGACCAGGAAGAGGTGGCGGTCCTGCGCCGTGCCGTTCTTGGCCGACAGCTTCTGGATGGGGCCCTCCTTGATCAGCTCGTTGGCGGGGTTGACGATGTCCTCCTCCCCACCCAGTCGCTCGTACACCTCCAGGAGCTTGTGCATTTTCTCCTGTGAGAGAGACAAGCCTCAGGCCCGTGGCGGCCGCAGGGGGACCCCGGGGTGAGGGGAACCCCGCCCTGCAGGCGTGGCCCGGAATCAGGGAACCAGGACGGGGCGACGAGCAGGTGTGCTGCAGGTGGGAAGGAGTCCACCCTGGGGGGGGGCGTCGGGCCTTGTCCGCACCCCTCAGAGATGGAAACCCACGGGGGCTCCCCCAAACGTCCACAGGCTCCAAGAAGCAGTTCTATGGCCTCCATCAGATTGAGTCGTGGGGAGGTGGGAAGGGAAATTTGACAGAAAGGACCCAGAGTGAACCATGACCTGTCTGGGTTGCAGTGGACACCCCACCGTGGGCCTGATCTCAGGCTGGTCTGTCCCAGGGGCCCCAGAACAAACCTGGGGACAGGCAGCTAAGGAAGACACGGGACTGGACCACACGTGGCAACGGTCATGCTAAAGTGAGCGGCTGCCTCTCGTTTCTCACGTTTGAGAGACGTGGGGTCACACAAATACTTCACTTTTCTTCCTCTCAAAAAACAGCAGTGCCCGTGTGAAAATAGGTCTCAGGACTGGGAGACACGGGCTGGGTGGGGACTGTGGCGGCCTAGGGAAGGGCTGAGGGCACAGGCTGTGGGGCGGGGCTTACAGGGTTTCCCAGTAAAGCCAGGAGTTTGGATCCTCCTGTGACCCACCCTGATCTGTAATCCTCGGAGAGGACTTAGAAATTCTCCCACAGGCCACACAAGGGACAGGGCCACCTGGGTCACCACAGTGCGTGGGCTCCTGGAGAGCTCCCGCATCCGCAGACCCCAGGCTTCGGAGGTGGAACATCAACAGGGGATGCCGTCCCCTCCACCTCTGCGCTGTGTCAGGAGGTGGGGCCCTCGGGAGGGGAAGTTTAGACGAGGTCACGGTCTTGGGGGTGGGGACCCCACAATGGGGTCGCAGCACTGACAGACACCAGGGAGCATGCTCTGCCTGCCATGCAGATGCAGGAGGAGACCCCACCCACACACCAGGGATGGAAGCTGCTGGTACCCAGCTGTGAGATACACAGTGTGGCGTGAGCCCGTCTGTGGGATCTTGTTCCAGCAGCTGGAGCTGGCTAAGAGGGAGCCACAGAGCTAGTAACAGACAGGCCTGTCTGGCTCGCGGTGGAGCCCCCGTCCACGGCTGGGGTGCCTGCAGTGGGGCCCTCGGGCGTCCTCCAGGAGCCCCACACTCACCATTTTCCGAATGGCGGCATTGGAGTGGTTGGCAGCGGTGGAGATGAGCTCCAAGGACCCTGCAGGAGCAAGACGTGGAGTCAGGCTGCAGGGTGCCTGCTGGCCTCGGCAGGGGCTGCCCTGCTCCCACCCTTCCCTGAGGGTGTCCGGGGCTGCTCACAGGCCTGGCCCAGGCAGAGGTGGGGCCCTGCAGACACAGTCCGTTTGGTGAGGGGGTCTGCTGGGGCTGGCACCCTACGCCCCATGCTGCCCCCCAGCCCCACGAGGCCCTTCCTGGGCCTGAGCTCTGCCAGCATCCAGCCCCCTCCCCAGAACCAGGGTCCTCCCCTCACACGGCAGTGGGGGTGAGGCGGTTTTCCCCTCGCAGTTACTTCCCGAGATGTGCCTGGGGGGCACTTGGCGATCTGCCCCACTCTGCCCCTGCCCCTCTCTCTCCTCTCTCTCCGTGGGTTTCCAGCAGGGGCCCCAGCTACCACTGCCCAGCAGCCCCACGGCCTGGCGGCAGCTGGGCTCACTTTCCGCATCCTTCCGGTCGGGGGCGTCTCCTGGGAGCCTCTTCAGATAGTCCTTGAGCAGCAACTCGTAGCGTGGGACCCTCTGAACGGGCTCCAGCATGTGGTGCTGCAGCGTCAGGTTCCCGCACACCTCCTGCTTCTGCGGGGAGACAGGCAGCCCGTGGCACCTGCAGATGCACGTGTGGACCTCCCACCCCGCGTCTGGCCTCCACGGCACCTGCACCCTACTGACTACAGACCCGTTACAGCAGGGTAAACCGAGGCTTGGAGAGACTGAACAACGGAGCAAGGACCCAGACCCCCCGTGCTGGCTTTATACAGGTCCTCGCAGGAGAAACTGGTCCTTGCGCGACGACTTCCCTCACGGGTAGCCCGCACACCGCACGTCCACTCGCTCGCTCACTGCTCAGGTGCCGGAGGCTGGGCCTCTTCCCTCCCTGGACACCAGGAGCTCTCCCAACAGGGGGACCCGTGGCCTAGAAGCCGCTCTGAGAGGGGCTGCACACTCTGATGTAAGTGTGACCCTGAGTGCAGGCAGGGGTGGGCGCTCAGCACCGCTTACAGGCTCCCCAGGCCCTCGGCCACTGCACCAGCTCCGTGTGTCCCGCCGGGGACCCAGCCCTTGCTGCCTGCCTCCTCTTCCTGCAGGTGCCCCGCACGTGCTCCTTGGTTGAGACCCTCCTGCCGTCCCCCGCGCCTGCTGGGGGGGTACGCTGTCCCCTGCTTCTCCCCGCCTGCCACCCGTGCCACTCAGGGCCCACAGTGGGACAGCCTCCAGCTCGAAGGACACGGCAGGGCCAGAGAAGGCCAGTCTGCAGCTGTCACTGAAACAATCCTTCCCGGGGGAGAATTACCAGGAACGGGATATTCACGGAATTCCAAAGTATCTCCCTGCACTTCCTAAGACCATGGGGGCACACCATGGGGGGCACACCTCATGCTCTAGCAGGGGCGCAACCCCCACACCTGCACCTGCCTACACCTACAGCCTCCCGGCGCTCGGGCCAGTGCTGGACGCGGGCAGTGCGAGCCCGGTTCCCGCTGGTCACTCGGGGCTGTGGGTCGGCCACAGGCACAGCCTGGGAAGCTGGAGGGGGCGATCCGTGCGCACAGCCGGGGCAGGCCCAGACCAGGGGTGAGGGTGCTGGGGGGAGGAAGGACTCGGCATTGGAACTGTCCTCTCTGGGCAGGGATGGGGTGCTGAGGGACGCAGGGGGCATCTAGGACTCCAAACTAGGAAGCCAGGGGTGACCCGATGGCCACAGGATCTGGGGGAAATGCAGAAGGCTACCGAGGAATGCGAGTATGTGTGAATGCACGCATGCACACACGTGTATGTATGGTGTGTGCTAAGACGCTCCATGTGATGTCCGAGCACAGTGCTTAGGGTACATGGGATGTTGCAACAAGAGGCTGACTAGTCACAGAAAGAAAACTGGACTCTTACCTCACACCACAGTCCACCTGGAAACTATTCTGGAATAGCAAGTCTAATCTTTTTTAAATGAAGCCATATCAGTAGAAGAAAAACATTATCTAACTGTGGGATAGAAAATGCATTTATAAGCATTACTTTGAAGATTTTTAAAAGCGTTATTTTATTAAAAAACTGGTGAATGTGGGCGCCTGGGTAGCTCACTGAGTTAAGAGTCTGCCTTCGGCTCAGGTCATCCTGGGATCGAGTCCCATGTTGGGCTCCCTGCTCGGTGGGAAGCCTGCTTCTCCCTCTCCCTCTGCCTCTGCCCCTCCCCCTGCTTGTGCTCTCTCTCTGACAAATCTTTTAAAAAATCTTTAAAAAAAAAGACCTCACTTTAAAAAACAAAACAAAACTGGTGAATGTGGTTATTTAAAAACCAAAAATTTTGTTTGGGAAACATCAAAAATAAAATTAAAAAATAAAAAATCAACGGGGAAAATAATTTGTAAGATACAGGACAGATAACAAAAGATGTTCTTAACATATAAAAACCTGGCAAATTGATAAGGAAAAGCGACACTGAAGAGACGATAAGGGGCTATTTGCAGGAAGAGAGAAAGAAGGGGGACGCGCAGGTCCCCACAGGCCTGCATGGCCAGGGAGGCACCTCGGAGGGAGGCGGGAGTCGCAGAGTCCGCCCAACAGTGAGGACACAGATCATACACCCTCCCGTGAAATGACAACAAGGATTTGTGTCCCGAGTGACTCAGCAGAGCTGGACGCGTGTCGTGGCTTCACCGAATTTCCCCACGCTCGAGCAGGACCGCAGTGTGTGCCGTGCAGCCGGCCGGGCCACCTACCTGGATGCCATGGACAATGTCCTTGAACACCGGCGAGCGCTGGGTCCAGGTGCTCACCAGCTCCGCGGCCCGGTCAAAGTTCTTGACATACTCGCCGTACATCTTGAGGAATGGGGCCAGCTTCTGCAGGATGTCCCCGAGCCGGGGTTTTGTGTCCCTTTGTGGGGGAGAGAGGTCATCAGAGAAACAGCTTGGGCCAGGGCGGGACGGGGACGTCCCCCGGAATCCATGGGGCAGTGGCCCAATTCCCAGTGCTGTGTGATGGTGGGCAAACCGGTCACCCTCTCTGAGCCTTACTTTCCTCTCCTGTATCGTGGGGGGGGGAACCGCGTGTTACACGGAGGTAAACGAGAGGATCACGTGGGCCCTCATGCGGGCACAGGACCGCGGCTCCAGGCCAGGGGTGCCAGTGGTGATGCAACCACTCAAATGACAGGCCGCGCATCAGAGAGAATCCGTGAGGACCCATGTTACCCCTTAGAGGAGCCAATTTCAGGAACAATGGGACAAGCGACACTGGCAACGTCACGGGAAAGCAGCAGGTTAGTAGTAAAATCAGCACACACAGGGATTTGAGAATAAATTTCAAGAAGCATAAAATATACCAATAGTTTTTTGACCTTGGAACCACAGTTCTAAGGGGAAGCGACCCTAAAAACATCATCAGAAAGCAAGCGAGCGTGTGCCCAAAGCCATCGCGGCGGCATCAGGAGAACGTGCTCTGGCGGACGTCCCCGGAAGGCAGGCTGCCTGCGAAGGCAAGTGGGCCAGCCTTCTTCCTGGGCTCCTTCCCTGCAGTCTGTGCACGAGGAGTCTCTCTAGGGCCTTGAGAAGAAAACCCATTTTTAGCAAGTGTGGACAGAAGGTCAATCGGGCCCTGGGCTGTTATCAATGGCTGTGGGGACACAGTGTAACCTGCTCTGCAGGGGGAGTCTGCTCCTCACAAAGACCCACAAAGCGACAGGGACCCTCACTGGGCCAGGCAAGAGAAGGGACGCCTGCTAGTCAAGGCTCCTGGCCTCAGTGCCCTCACTTGCCTGGCTGCAGCTGGAGAATGGGCTCTTGGGGACCCAAGGGGCTGAGCTCCTGACGCTCCCAATGCCCCGGAGACCCACGCTCCGGCTCAAAGTCAGGCCGGAGAAGAGGGAAAAAGCACTGGCGACAGTGGGGGAAGCACGTATCGTGAACAATGGCAGGTGGAGGGCCATGCCTGTGATGTTTTATTATCCTGACGCACAGTCGAGCGGGCCCTCCCCTAAGAACGAGGAGAAGCGGCAGAGGGACAGAAGGACAGCCCCTGGGGGCAGCCGGAGGATCCAAGGTGCCCTGGGAAGGGGAAAATCTCAGTTTTTAAATCAAATGTGGAGTATACATGGGGAGGGAAAATACAGCTGCTAGCTCTGTTTACTTGCTGTTTGGTGTTCACGGATCCCACAGAGCCTGAGCGGGTATTAAAGTCGCTATGGTGTGCACATGAAGAAGCTAAGGCATGGGGACACTGCGGGTCAGGGTTGGCCAGGACCCTGCAGGGAAGGAGCCAGGGCCTGTCTCTCAGGCACACGGACTCCGACTGAGAGGCCGCTGGCCATGAGAATCCCACACAGCTGCGGGACGGAGTCGCCGGGAACCAGGAGCCGCACTCACCACTCCTGTGTGATCCGCGTCTGCAGCTCGGGGAGAAGGAAGTGCCCATGGAAGCGATAGATGGAGGAGATGTTGGAGAAGATGCCTGTGGTGACCTCCGAAGGGATGCCTGCTTCTGTCAGCTGGGTGCAGAAAACCTGGGGGTGCAGAGGCCCCGGAGCAGGCGCTGAGGGAGGGGCTGCTACAGCTGCCTTCGCGGGGTGGGGGGGCCCTCGGGAGAGGTTGCCACAGCCTCCTGTTTTCTTTCTTTCTTTCTTTTTTTTTTTTTAAAGATTTTATCTACTTATTTGGCAGAGAGAGACACAGCGAGAGAGGGAGCACAAGCAGGGGGAGTGGGAGAGGGAGAAGCGGGCTCCCCGCCGAGCAGGGAGCCTGATGCGGGGCTCGATCCCAGGACCCTGGGATCATGACCTGAGCCGAAGGCAGACGCTTAACGATTGAGCCACCCAGGCGCCCCTGGCCTCCTGTTTTCTTAACAAACCTCCGCTTCATCAAACGGGCTCAAACCTACGGTTTTAAAGCAAGCTCCCTCGTGGCTAGGGACTGCGGGTGAGGCAGACACAGTCCTCTGCTGACGTGGACAGGCCGTCCTGCCTGCGCCCACCTCTCAGGGGAACTGGAGGGTCCCGATTCCCCTTCTCCGCTCTCTGAGCTACAAACAGAACACCTGGCAGAACTCTGGGCGTCTGCCTGAGGTTTACTTCCTGTGCTCCTAAACCCCGGGCTGCTACGGGGACATTAAGATTTCCAGAGGCCATTTACATGCTCAGATAATGCAACTGCCAGGAAGAATCCCCCCCCCCCCCCCCGCCCAGGTGACGGGACAGGACCTTCACCCCAGAGCCCCAGGCTCAGACAGCAAAAAGGAGGAGCTTCTGGAGGAGACTCACAGCCACCTGAGTTTTAGTGTGAAGTCTCTCACACTCCGGCTGGAAGGCCCGGCCAGCGCTGAGCCTGGGACTTTGCCTCTGACTGGCATAAAGGTGGGATCCCACCCCGGGGGCTACCTGGTCTAGCAGGTGCAGCCGCTGCACGTAGGTCTCCTCGGTGTGCAGGAGTTCCTGGGCGATGTGGAGCAGCTTCTGGGGCTCGGAGCACTGCAGAGAGAAGAAACACGGTGCCCTGGGGAGGCGGGGTCTGACACTGGGGGCCACCAGGGGGCCTGGGGGCTGGAGGAGGCCACTAGCACTGGGGCAGGGAGCTCAGTCCTCACAGATGGACTTTTCAGGGAGGTTTCTGGGGAAGGCACAACAGCTCCTGCCAACCCCCCCAAACAGCTTCTGCATCCCAGAGACAACTCTGCCCTCCTGAGACCTTGACCACACAGCAGCCACATCAAAGTATTCTGTGGCCTGCCGTCAGCAAGATGGCAGACTAGAAAGCTACAGGCCCCCCTTCCCCCAGGGACATGGCACCAACAACGTAGAGACTACAATCCCTCCGTGAGAACTCCAGAAAAGAGCTGAGAAGCTACTGCCCCAAGTCACGGTAGGGGATTCCAGCAAACGGGAAACCCGGCAGCAACCGGCATGCCCTTTTGTGTCCTTCCCCAGGCACCATAGCGTGGCCCACGGGGGACGTCGTCCCTACGCTGGAGGTCCCCGTTCAGGACGGAAATGAGGTGGTGAGCCGCGCATCCAGTCCCCCGGCTGGTCTGCGGGCCATCGAGGGACTGCTGGCTCCTGTCTGCCCGACTGGGGACGTGATCCACGCCAGAGTTTTGAAATCCCTGGAAACAGAGGCCAGCTGCGCATGCGACAGAAGGCTCTAAGTTTAAGGTGTTTTATGTAATTTCAATAGTAACCACAAGGAATATATCTACCAAATACACACAAAAGGAAACGAGAAGAGAATCAAAACATACCATTACAAAAATTCAATGAAAAATAAGGCAGGCTCTAAGGGACAAAAAAGCCGTAAGATATGCAGAAAACAATCATCAAAATGGCAACCATCCCTTCCCTAAAATTAATACAGTATCATTTCTTACTTTTAATTTCTCTATGCTTGATAAAAGATAAAATAAAAAGATATATATGTCCTTTTGCTTTAGGTATATCTCTTATAAGAAACACATCATTGGATTTTAATTTTTAACCCAATATGAGAGTACTGTTCTTTTAATAGGGGACTTTACCACATTTTTTGGGTCATTATATATATATTTAGCCTTAACCTCTTTCATCTTGCCTTAAAAACTTTTTTTAAAGTTTGCTTGTTATTGTTAGGGTGATGTATGGAATTGTCGAATTACTATATTGTACACCCAAAACTAAAATAACACTGTATGTTAACTAACTGGAATTAAAATGAAAACTTCAAAAAAAAAAAAAAAAGACAACTGTCCCTCCCTATCAGTAATTACTCTAAATGTAAATGGATTAAACTCCCTAATCAAAACACACGGATTGGCTGAATGGATTTAAAAAACAGCATCCAATACATGCTGTGCACAAGACACTCACTTTAGATTTAAGGACACACACAAGCTGGAAGTGGGAGGATGGGAAAGATCCAGCGTGCAAACAGAGACTGAACGAGAGCAGGAGCGGGTACGCTGGTATCGGACAAAACAGACTGTAAGTAAAAAACCGTTACCAGATACGACAAATTACATCATATGATGATAAAAGGAACAACTCTCGGAAAAGACAGAACACTTACAAATACTTAGGTACCAGGGGCGCCTCACAGGCTCTGTCCGGAGAGTGTGGGACTCTTGATCTCGGGGTCGTGAGTTCGAGCCCCATGATGGGTACAGAGAGGACTTAAATTAATAAAAAAACTTTAAAAAAGTTCAAGCAAGTATTTATGCACCAAACCTCGTAAGTCCTAAATACAGGAAGCAGCATGGTACCGGCCAGGACAGGCAGACAGGTGTGTGAACAGACACACAGACCCAGACCCCTCCACCCAACAACAGGAGAAGGCACATTCTTCTCAAGTGCACATGGAACAGTCTCCAGGACGGTCTACATATCAGGCCCCCAAACAAGCATTAACAAACTGCAGGTTGAAACCATATAAAGTATCTTTTCCAATCACAATAAAATGAAAGTAGAAATTAATAGCACAAGAAAAACTGGGAAACCCACCGATAGGTAGAAATTAAACAAGGCAGTCTTCAGGAAGGGTGGAAGAAGTCACAAAGGAAATTAGAAAAATAGCTTGAAATGAAAATGAAAACACAAACACCAAAACTTATGGGACGCAGCAAAGGCCACTCAGAGGAACGTTCGTAGCCATAAATGTGTGTGTGAAAAAGGAAGAAAGATCTCAAATCAATGACGTAACTTCACACTTCAAGAGATTAGAAAAAGCACACACTAAACCCAAAGCAGTCAGAAGGAAGGAAATAACAGATCAGATCAGAGATAAATGAAACAGAGAATAGAAAAACAATGGAAAAAATCAACAGAACAGAGTTGTTTTTTGGAGGGATCAACAAAATTCACACACCCTTAACTAAATTAACTAAGAAACAGAGAAGACTCAAATAAGTAATATCAGAAATAAAAGACGCAGAACCGACATCACAGAAATGAAAAGGATCACGAGAGACTGATGTGAACAATTATGCTCCAAAAAAATGGACAGCCCAGATCAACGGATAAATTCCTAGAAACAACCAAGACTGAAAACATGAAGAAACAGGAAATGTGAATGACCAACAGTGAGTGCATTGAATAAGCAATAAAAAAACTGCCCAGCAAAGAAAAGCCCAGGACCAGATGGCTTCCCTGGAAAATTAAAACCAATCTTTCTCAAATGCTCCCAAAACACTGAAGAGGAGCCAACCCCTCTAAGTGCCGCCTGATGCCAGAGCCGGCAGAGAGCCTACAAGGACGCTGCCGATGGACAGCCCTGCGCAGACTGACATCAGCAAACCTGACTCAACGGTACAGAGGAGGACCGGACACCACGACCAAGGGAGGTTTATTGTGGGGCTCAACACACGAAGAGAAACCCTCCTGATGACCTGACCGATGAAGAAGCAGCATCTGACAAGATTCACCGTCCCTCTGTGACAAAAAAAACGGCACTAGCTGGGACCTCCTCCGCATGACAAAGGCTGACTTCCCGTGTGGGGGAAGGGAGGCACAGGGCCCCGGGGCTCCTGGTGCACGCCTCACCCCTTGGCCAGGATGGGCCATGCCCGACGGAGCAGACAGACCCAGAAGTGTCGGCATCTCTGCGTTACAGACGCGAAGGCTTGGGCCTTCCCCCAGAGCCTGGTGTGGGCAGGAGCGGAGCAGGCCTGGGGTGTGCACTTGCCCCCACCATCTGGGAGACCGGGGCAGCCAGCTGAGCTCCCCCCACCCCGGGAGCACGCCTCGAGAGCCACGGTGGTGTGGCCTGCAGTAACCACATCACTCGGTTTCTATGTGGTAGGACGTCTGCACGTCTCGTGTCCTTGTTGACCCACGTGGTGTGCCCTTCACGTGAACCAGCCTCCGCAGAGCCACCCCAGCCCCTCCGTGGGCTCTCACGGCTCCCCTGCCCTGGTCTCCCAGGACCAGGTGCCACACATCTGGGACACCTTCTGTGCAGGCAATCCTAAACCTGCTCACCCTGCTTCACCCATTCCTTCCCACGGAAACCATAAGACAGGCTCTCATGCACAATTTCCACCCCCTCTGCTCCCTGACCCACTCTGGTCTTTCGCTGGTGGCCCCGGGGCCTGGCCTGCCCCTCCTCCTGGGAACTGTAAGTGACAAACTCTCTTTTCATGGCAGTTGTCCCCTGATCTATTGGCGTTACCATACCCGAATAATAACAAAACCTAGCTTAAAACATGCGCCCCCCCCCCCCGAAGTTGGCTCACACCAGTGTGGGCACGAGGCTGCCCTTGGCCCGCCCTTCGCCCGCCAGGCCAGTAGATCTGGCGTCTCCTGTGCTGCTCGTGGGACCCGGTCGTGACGCCATTCTCCCCACACAGGCGGTGTCTCTGAGCCGGGGCCCTCGGCTTCATTTCCTCGTCCCCATACATCCCAGTGCAGAGCCCAGAGCCCAAGATGCTGTCGGGATGCACGTGGGCTCTCTCACAGCAGACCCGCCACACCATGGGCACAGCTGCTTCCTGGCGTCTGCTCGGGGCTCGGCTCCCGAGCCGGGGCTCCGTTCCCACCCCTGCCACACCCCATGGTGACCCTCGGTTCCCTGTTTATGACACAGGGGCTCTGCAAGGTGGGCAGCCAGCCCTGGCAAAGGACGTGGTGGTGGCTCCGTGAGCGACCACCCCCGTGGCCCCAGGGGTGGGGTCCCTGTGCCGTGTGGACACAGAACCTAGGCTTGGGAGTGAGGTCATTGCCTGAGGTGCCGGGGCCCCTGCCCTCCCTGCCGACCCATCACTGGGCCTCTCTGACCTCACGACCCCTCAGAAGAGCCCCTGCCACCCCAAGACGTGAGGGCGGCCTACCTTGGCCGGGTCCGCAGGGGCCCCAGGGGGGCAGTTCTCGGGGTCAGGCTCCTCACCGCTACCTTCGCCCACGTCGCTATCGGCTGCCTCCTGCAGGACCTTGCCTTCTGGGGCTGCGTCCAGGTGCGGTCCCGGGACTCCGGGGCCCCGGCCAGCCTCGCCGCCCTCCTCACAGGGGAACTGGTCACTAGCCATGCTGCAGGATGGACTGTCGATCCCGCTGTCCCGGTTGGGGAGCTTAGCAGCACCATTCAGCTCCCTCAAAGGGCCCGTGTCTGGGGGGCCATTCCCTGCAGCAGCTGGGCTGCCAGGGCTCCTAGGGTCGGGGTCCTTGCCGTGGGCTCTAGGCCCGAGTGGCAGTGCTTGCAGCTTCCCTGGGTCTGCCCTCGGGAGCTCCAGGGAGGAGTAGCCAGGCCCAGAGTCTGGCTCCCCCAGGGCAGCGATGGGGGCCTGGGCTGTTGAGGAGCCCCCTCCTGACTCCATCCTCACAGCTAAGGTGCCTGAGCTCCGTGGGGAGCTGGCCGGGGGGCTGCCTGTGGGGGGAAATGAGCAGGGTTAGTGCCAGCCAGGCATGGACCACCCCTGCATGCAGCCCAGAGTGCAGCCCCCAGGTGTCTCCCCCCAGAGAAGGGCGGAGTTGGGAGGGGGCCGTGTGTGAACAGCCCACACAGCTCCAGCTGGGTCCTGTCCAGACAGGCTTTCGGGAATGGCAAATGGAAAGCATTTTATTTTAAAAATAAGTTTCTTCTATGTTAAAAAAAAAAAAAAGGAAAGAAGGAAGGAAAAGAGACAGAGAGGAGGAAAGAGGGAGGAAAGAAGGAGGGAAGGTAGGAAGAAAAAGAGACAGAGAGAGGGAAGGAAAGAGGGAGGAAAGGAGGAGGGAAGGAATCCCACAGCGTGAAGCCACCTGCCACTCAACACATTTAAACCACACGCACAAAAATTACCGTCGTGAGCGCGTGGGTCAGGTCAGCTGGGTGCTCTGCACCCCGGGATGTGGTTCTGAGGGGCCCCCTCGGCATCACTGTGACCCGCACCGTCCAGAGACCCTGGGCCAGGGAGGCCAAGGCTTTGCCCCAGATACACCCCCCCCCCCCAGCGCCACAAAGCTTCCTGGAGCTGCTTGTTGCTTTCCCCGACCCCCTCTCCTGGACGCCGTCACAGTGGAGAGGTGAGTCAGGAATCGTGGCAGGGTTGAGGGGGGACGGAGCCAGGGGAGATCACCATTCCCCAGAATCTTCCTTTGACCCCACTCACCTGACGCCCAGGTCTCCAGGGAGGGCTCTGCTCTTGGCTCCCTGCCGGCCGTGCTCGGGGTCTGGGTTGGCTGCCTCAGGCCGTGAGCATGAGCGGGGCTGGGAGGTTGGCTGAAAATGTCCTTCCTGTCCAGCAGGTTTGACACAGGGGTCCTGAAACAACAGGACAGGAGCATGAAAGCTGCCTTCTCCACCGCACCTGCAGCGGCCGGCGTCAGACCAGCTCCAAAGGCAGAGGGTGGAAGGGCAGCTCCGTGGCCCCGCCCAGCGCGGCCAGCCCTGGACAGGTCATGGGCCGCAGGCAGACGGAGCACGTGGCTTCCTGCCCGAGTGCAGGGCCAGCTCTGAGCGCCCAGCCCAAAACCCCAGGCCAGAGCTGACCGGGGAGGCAGGGACCCGCCCGGTGTGCACAGGGCCGGGGGGCACCTCCCAGCCACACCCGAGCACCCTCCTGACGTCTGCACACACAGGCGCCCAGGGCGCACACCCACAATCAGCCTAGCGGCCCGCAGCTCCAGCAGACGCTCCCCTGCCCTCGCAGACCAGGCTGAGGGGCCATGCGTGGAGACGCAACGCCCTCTGCCCTCTCGCTCTCGCACAGACCCGCGAACGTGCCCAGGGCCTGCCCCGCAGTGCCTCGCAGGCGGGAAGACCTCCGGGCAGAGTGCGGGGAGCGCGGCTGCCACGCTGGGGCCGCTGAGCCGGGAGGCCCCGCTCCGCCTGCGACAGCCGGCTTCCCAAGCGGCCAGACTGCCCGGGGGGACCTCTCCCCCAGCGACGCCAAAGCCAGAGCAGGGTGCACGCGCATCGTGGCCCCTGCCACGTTCCTGGCGGGCTTAACGGGCAGAAGTAAGAAGGGCTCCAAACGGAAAGGACATGCTTTTCCGCATCCCTTTCACAGCGCAAGAGAGAAACCCAGGCTCCCTGCCCAGCCCGCAAACGCGCGGTGGAACGCCGCCACGCGCTCAGCCGCCGTGCGTCCAGTGGGGCCTCCGGACCCAGGCGCAGCCTCCGCAACCCCGCCTCAGGGAGCCCGCCTCTGGCCCCCCTCGGCCAGGCAGCGAAGCACCACGCCCCCAGCAGGTGGAAACCGGTGCAGCGCCCTCAGCCGCCGCACTTCCTGCAGGGACGGGCCCCGTGGACCCGAGGGACGGCGCCGAGACCAAGCGGGGGGGGGGCCACGGGGCAGAGCACCAGAAGGAGCCCCGTCAGGGCGCAGAGGCCTGCGGGCCCCGAGGACGGTCCGCACGCGCGGGAGCGCGCGGGAGACGCGGGAGGGAACCGCGGTGGCGCAGGCGGGGCGACGCTGGTCCCCACCGGCGCTGGGGGGCGAGCGCCCCGCGGGGAGCTCTGCCCGGGTCCGGGACGCCCACCTGCTCACTGGCAGCATCACTGCTCCCCCGAGCAGCGCTCAGAGCCGAGGCGAGAGCTCGAGCCGGGCGGCGTGCGTGCGTCCACAGGTGCGGACGCACACGCCAGCTTCCAGAGCTGAAAGCCCCAAGGGTGAGGAGGCGGAGGGGGACCTGGAGTCGCTGCGGGAGATGAGCGGGTCTGCGGGGACAGCGGCGGAAGCCACCCGCACTGAAGCGCACGCAGACAGCGGCGCGAGCAAACGTCCCGCGGCTCGACGTTCGCGTAGCTGGAGCCCCGGGAGGGGAGCGGGCAGGTGTCTGCCACATGACGACCCCAGCGCTGAATCCCAGCAAACGCCAAGGAGGGTGATGCGCAAACCCCTCCAGGACGCCGCGCGATGGCTCCGCGCTCGGCGGAAGCCGACGGGCAGAAGACACGGCACCCCTGCCTTTCCGTCTACACAGACTTCCAGGAGACACACACCAACCTGTGGACCGGGGCAGCGCACGGGCTCGCCGTCGAGCCTGGGGCGAGCGTCTCGCAGTACGCATGCGTGTCGAAACGCCAGGGGGCGCCGTGCACATGCGCAGTCCCCCGTGTTCGCACACCGCCCAGACGGCGATGCCTCCGACTTGCGCCACCTTAGCAAGTCGATGCTCCCCAAGTGCCATCTTTTTTTAAGTTTTTATTTATTTACTCGAGAGAGCATGGCAAGAGAGCAACTGCACAAGCAGGGGGAGCAGCAGAGGGAGAGGGAGAAGCAGGCTCCCCACTGAGCAGGGAGCCAGATGCGGGGCTCGATCCCAGGCCCTGAGATCACGAGTGGAAGGCACACTTCACCAAACGAGCCACCCAGGTGCCCCGCAAGTGCCACTTTTACAGAAGGGACCGGGGTCGGGCAGAGCACAGGTGGCAGGCCCGCAGCCTGGGGAGGCATCCTCATCTGGAGGAGTGGGGTGCGCCCTTCCCCTGGAGGCCCGTGAGCCGTGACCACCTCTTCTTCCAAGGGCAGCAGAACCAGCTCAGCCAGATGGGAGAGCCCAAAGCTCAACACAAAGACGTCCCACAGGCAGCCGAGTGTGGGGTACAACAGTGGAGACCACCGCCCCCAGTCTGATTCAGGAAGCCGAGGGAGGCAGCCCACGGCCTTGCTCACCTCAAGACTGGTCTCCCCGCTGCCTTTCCACGTCCAAGGTCAGCACCAGAGAAGGCCAGCCCAGGTCCTGCCTGCCCTCCACACTGCACAGGGGAGCAGGGGGCTCTGGGGAGGGAACACACATATGCGCACGTGCCCACACCTACACACGTGTTTCCATACCACACACGTGTGCGTGCGCACACACACGCACCATGTGCCAGGAGCCGTGCTCAGCACCTCTGTGCACTCGCTCACTCACAAACACCAAGGTGGGTGATGTTCTGTGTTTCAGACGAGGAAGCCAAGGCTGACCCCGGCCATGCTGGCCTGGAGAACCAGCCCCTGGACTCTGGGTTGGGCTCCAAGCTCATTCTGACACATCCAGGGCCAGGGTGGGGGTGGGTGAGAGCACGGGAGGAGCCACGGAGCTGTCGTCAGCCATCTCTCTCTGGCCCTGGCTCTCGCCTTAGAGACGCTGAGCCCCCAGCTGAATGAGGCTGGCTGCCAACCCCAGGAGACTCCGCCGGGGCCCTGGACACCTGCGGCCGCCACCACCCAGCATCGAAGCCCCAACACTGAGCCTGGGGGAGGTTCGGGCGCTGGAGAAGGATGGAGAAATTAAATGCGCAAGGCACTGCGGACCACTTAAGTGGCCCTGGAGCCCTGGCACTGCCCGGTGGCTGCCCGAGACAGGCAGGGACGATCCTGCACATGGGCCACAAGGCCGAGCACTGCCCAGCCCCACCTGCTGCTAGATGTTCCCTCCTCGGGAGCAACACAGGCACCCTGCTAGAGCCCCTGCCATCCCCGTCTCTTGCCGCCTGGCACCTAGCATCCCGTCTGCTCCCCACTGACAGCAGCTACCTCTGATTGGCCTCTGAAACTGTCCCACCCTGACCGGCACCAGCCCCAGGATTGTACGAGATGACGATGCTCAGTGGGGCTGCTCTCTCCCCCACCAAGCTCGGGTGGTTGCTCACATGCAGCAGGTCATCTGAACAAGTCTGAAAATACACAGGGAGGTCCCTGTGCCACCATGCCTGCACACAGGTCCACGTGGGGAGACGAGGCTGCAGAACCCACGAGGCCGTGTAGCAGTAACCCGGACCTGCTTCGCTCCAGGGTCAGGCTCTGGAAGCACAGCCCTTCTCCTGGGGCCTCAGCCTGGGGTCTCCACCCTGTCCGCTGAGCACATGGAGATTGGCGCAGACGGTGGGGGCCACGTGCTCTGGGATGCTGCTGGGCTCAGCGAGACCTGGGGCCGGGGGCTGCAGGCAAGCTGAGCACAGAGGAAAGGAGATGGATCAACAGGGCGCCGTCCCTGCGTGCTGGACGCCCTCCTCAGCTCATACCATGCTTAAAGTTGCTGTGCTTTCAAAAGCTGTTCGAGCGACGCGTCCTTTTTAGAAAACTTAGAAGTTACGGAAAAACAAAAAGGAAATAAAAGCTTCCCGTCCCTGTGGCGCTGGGATGTCTGTGTGGGCAGCGCCCTGTGGGCTGAATGGCCCAGTGGTGGCTCCTAGGGGGGCTGCAGCTTTTCTTAGAGATGCTGTTTTTGTTCCAATACCGAATTCCAACACCTGGTCCTCAAGAACGCTCTTCTCCCAGAAGAACTGAAAGCAGAGAATTGAACAGACGCGCACGCCCGTGATCAGAACCGCATCCTTCGCAGCAGCAGCCGGCCGGGCGAACGCACACGCAGCTCGTGTGCTCAGTGGCTACGGGACGTTCCTCAGCCCTCAAGAGGCAGGACACCCTGGCACCTGCCACAGCATGGACGGGCCTTGAGGACACGAGGCTGAGTGCCCATCACAGAAGGACAAACACCGTGTGAGGTCCCCGGAGTCATCAGATCACACAGAGTGGACGGCAGGTGCCGGGGCACGGGGCGGGGGGGGGGGGGGGGGCAGTAGTGCTTAATAAGGACGCAGTCTCAGCCGGAGACGGAACATTCTGGAGACGGACAGGGAGGATGGCTGCAGAACCGTGCGAACACACGTAACGCCACTGGACAAAGTAGTTTCGATGACAAATTTTATGTCACATGTACTTTACCACAGAAAAACAGCTTTAAAAAAACGTTCTAGAAAATTCTTATCAGAAGCTGTGTGAATGAGGGCTAAGACAACAGTGATTCAAACGCCTAGAATTTACTGCCTGCCTGGGTCCTGGCCTGTCCTCGCACACCCCCAGAAACCCCTGGGCGCCCCACAGACACGCGGCTGTGGCGAGGGCCTGGCCCCTGCTACTACTTATACCGCCCGGGCCCTGCTGCCCTGCCCTCCAGAGACCCAGCCCCGGGGGCGGCTGACACAGACCCCGAGGGGAGAGACTGTGGCCGAGCTCCACGAGGCTCCCCCCATGTGGCCCCCACCGAGTGAACAAGGGCCTCCTGGGGCCTCCTGTGTGGATCCGGGGAGGTGGCCGAGCATCGTGCTGCTGGCCCGAGGCTTCGAGCCAGAGTGATGGGCTGCTCCCACCTACCAGCCGGGCCGCCAGGGACAACTTGCCGACCCTCAGTTTTCTCCTCTGTAAAACGGACGTAACTGCCCTGCAAAGTTCCCAAAGCCTGAGGCGGCGCACAGCACCGGACCCCACCCGGCCACCTCCTACGTGTTTGGCAGCCCAGCAGACGTACAGGGCCAGGACAGCTTGCCAGGCTGATGGGCTTCGGCCACTGACGCGGCCTAAAGCTCCCAGGGCCCTGTCACCGGCTCCATCCTGCAGGACTTGCTGAGGCCCCGCCAGGGCACAGTACCGATGATGTGTGCCCAGAGCTAGCTTAACAGAAGCTCCCAGACAGCAAACCCGGAAATGCACTGGGTCCAGCGCAACGAGCCATGACAGAAGAGCTGGCGCAGGCTCATGGGGCCACAAGGCACGCGGGACACATGGCACGGGGCCGCACGGCCCGCAAATGCACGCCACGCAGGTGCACAGCACGCAGGACGCACGCGCACGGGGCTGCACGGCACGCAGGTGCACTGCACACGAGTCGCACGTGCGGACCCCGTGGGCCTGCAAAACCGACCACCTGAGCTGCTTCCGCTTAATCTTTTCACTTATACGTAATGTTCTTCTTTTCCTTCCTAGTTTTATTTTCTACTATCAACACTCGCATTCTCGTGTGCTTTCTTTGTCCTATTCTGTTTTTGTTTTGCTGTCGTCGGGGCTTTAACTACAGACACCGCATCACTGTCCGTTGTGGTGGAGCACAGACCGGTCCCCATGCAGCAACCAGCTGTGCGCAGAACAAGCTGCGTCTGGGCGGGCCCACGAAGCTCTGGAGCCCTGCTGGGTGACCTAGTGTCGGGCCCGCGTGCACGGGGCAGAGGTCCTCGGCCGACCTCCGGCACCCCGGGCTCCCCACGCAACTCCACCTTGGCTTATGTCTGAGACATTCACCAGAAGACCTAGTGAAACGAACAGACGAGAACCTTCCAAAAGCTTCCCACTGCACGGAGATCCTGACCACGCTCCCGGGGCCACCCTGTGTGCGTGCAGCCTGGCCCTGCTCAATCCAGGGGTCAATGCCGCTGGGGATGGGGGAAGCTCCGCACGGACACCCCCCAACCCCCCATCACTCTCACTGCTGCCCTGGGACCCCCGCCTGGGGTCACTCCCACTGCCACCCCGGGGGAGGCCTTCCCACGAGGACAGGTCTCATCTGACTGCACAGTGACCTGCCGGGTTATTGCGCAAAAGGGAGACCAGGCAGCAGGTTCACTCTCCCAAAGCCACACACTTGTGGGGGCTAGAGCATCACATCCTGGGCGCACATGCACTTCATGGGGGTCCACTGGAGCCCCCAGAGCCGACCGGAAAGGTCAGTCACTGCCCACCTCACTGGGTGCCTACGTGGTGACCAATCATCACCACCATACGTGTGATCCCAGAAAGAGGGAACAGAGTCCCAGGCAGAGGGAACACCGTTCCAGACGGAGGAGCAGGGCAAAGGAGAATCAGCCCAGCCGTCTGGAGAAACGTACCTGGAGACTGAGGAGGTAGAACGTAGGGGTTGGAGCCAGGATGTGTCTCCCAGCCATGGGCAGCCAGGGGACCGTGCAGGTGAGTGATGCTCCATTCAGGGCTGGTTTCACGTGTCCTACAGTCTGACTTCCACACTCACCCCCTTTACTGAGGTGCCTCACTCTCCTCATCTGTCAGTGGGGGTCACGAGAACCCACCTGGGACAGGTACGGAGGATGTGGGGAGGCCAGTGCTCCCAGCCTCCCAGCTGGGACCAGCAGCTGCACCACTGTCACTGTTCGGAGTCCAAGGACATCCCCATCGCTGGGCTTTCAAGGGGCTCAGGGCAGCAAAGCCCCACATGTCCTGAAGGCCTCCATTGAGCCCCCCATCTGAGCTCTGGCCTTCACAGACCAACTGAAGGTCAGGCCTGTGGGTCAGAGCACACAGTCCTGTCCAGCTTCGGGGGCCCCTGAACTTTTGGAGGTGCTGGCCTTTGTGGGGAGACAGATGTCAAACCCAAGGAGGGGAACCAGGGCCTCTGGCCTCCTGCAAACACCCAGCTGGAGACAAACCACTTCCTCCCCGCGCACCCGACCCCGCCCGGCCCCAGCGAGCTGTCAGGCTCTGAAGGTCTGAGTGGGGCCCAGCTGGGCAGCATGCAGGCCAAGGCACAGGGCTCCCTCTGTTTCCTCTCCTTTAGGAGTGGCCAAGTACTCAGCCAGTTGCCTGCAAGCCCCGAGGGTCCCAGGAGCCAGGTGCTCTGAGGACAGCTGCGCCCCTGAACACACTCCCACTCTGCACAAACACGGCGCCATCTGGCTCCACCCCTCTGCCTCCCAGGACGTCCGCCCTGCCAGGAGTCGGCGCCTGGAGTCGGCAGGGTGGGCATCCCAGGGTGTCCTCCTCCCCAGTAGCACGCCACGGCCAAGCCCCATCAGTGTCTAAACTTAGCATCAGATTGCTGAGGAATCTTCCATAGCCACACATTTTGTGGGAAGGCCTACCCCCCTAGGGACTGCGTGGACCACTCACCCTTCCTCAGCCCAGGTAAAGGAAGACCCGCATTGCCCAGGGCCTCGGGGACAGGTGCGCAGGCTTGGCCCATGTGGGGGTCACCCTGAACCGGGTCAGCCTCAGACCCCGGCCCCTCCTGGGCTCAGTTCATCCTAGCAAGAGTCTGAGGCGCCCCAGACGACACCCAGTGCTGTCCCGGCCGATGGCACGCTTGCTGCGGGCTGTGCCCACAACACGCTGGCTCTTCACAAATCAAGCCGGGGGTACCCCAGGAGCCAAAGGAGCACAGACGCACCACTCACCCACCACCACATGGCTTCCTGCCTTGAAGTGACCAACCCCAAGCCGCTCCTGCTCTCAACCCCCTCATGCCCAAAAGTGCCCCTTGTAGGACTTGCACAGGCCCTGGGGGCCGGCGAAGACCCCAGAGCTAGCACCACTCACCTGCCGTCCCGGGAGGCCGCGCTTCTGCCCGGGGCTGACTTCAGGCTGCAGCAAAACACAACTTCCTTTTGTGGGTTTTGCAATATGGGTCACTAAAGACGGTGCCTTCGCATTTCCGCATCGTCACACGCCCAAGTTCATTGGTTCCCCAGCTGCCTCCTGTGTGAAAATACAGCCCAGACGGGCTGGAGAGCTGTCCAGGCCCCCAAGAGCCCCTGCACCACGGCGCCCCAAGCCGTCCCGGGGTGGAGGCGATGCAGGCCACAGCCTTCCCCCCCACTCGCCTCGTGGGCTTCTGGGCACAGACCTGCGGGGACACGACACTGGGACCCTCAGGGGGTCCCCTAGCTGAGAGGAGGCCCGTGGACCGTCAGGGGAGCACCCTTGTCACGGGGCAGCTCGGTGACCCCAGGAGAAAGTAAATGCACAAAGACGACTCCTGCAAAGCTTAGAGCGCGAGCTCTGCATGCGTTCCAATGGTGGCTTGTTCGTCCCGCCTGCATGCTTCTTTAGAAACAAACGGATTTCTTTGAGCCTTGGTGTCCTCGTTGCTGGCCGGGGGTCACCGTGGAGCCCCCCCGGGGCAGCGCCTCGCAGCCAGGGAGCACGCGAGCGCGAGGAAGCCAGCCCAGGGCGGCTAACGAGGGCGTCTCTCCAGCCCACGCAAGCCCAGAGCGCACAGCGGAGGCTCCCGCGCTCAGTTGTTGGGGGCGGGGGTGGTCAGGCTGCGGACGCTGCCCACTTTCCCTCCAGAGAGTCCTCCTTCCAGCCTGGGATTTGAGGAAGTCTGTGAGGAAGCGGCTGACCGAGCGGCCAGCGGTAGCGCCATGCACACGGACAGAGGTGCGCCTCCCTCCAGGGATGGGAAGACCCAGGCGAGCACGCAGAGCGCCTACCATGCGGCCCCCAGCCATCGCCGAGGACCAGCGCTGCCCCACCCAGCAGGTGACAGGACGGCGGCCCCTGTCTCAGAGGCACCTGGGCTCACACCCCGGCTCTCGGGCTGAGAACTCAGAGCCTCAGGTCCTCTGCCATAAAATGGAAAGGAGACGGGATGCACAGAGTTCTGTGAGGAACGCGGGCCTGGCCTGTGGCGGGGGGGCCCCTCCAGGTGCCAAGAGCAGCACCTGCCACCTTCCCCAGCACGGCCCTTGCCTGCTGACATCCCCGAGTCAGGAGACTGGCAGGGAGACCCCATCGGGACGGAGCCCTGTTGCACAGAAATGGCCTACGGAGGCAGGGCTGTGTTCGGGCAGCAGCCCAGGTGTCGCGACCCAAAGGTGATGGGCAAAAAGTGGAGTGGGGTGCAGCCGGGCTGGAACGCATCAGGCGGCGGACCTCTCCACCCGGGCGGCGGCACCGTCCAACAAGGAATGCACTAGCCGTCGTGCTTCGTATAGAATATTAAGCAGCATACCATGGCCCCTCGTGGCTGTGTTTCATCGGCACTTCCTTGAGCTCAAGAGCGTGGGACAGTGGGACGGCTCCCACTTTCTCCCAGGGAGTGAAACGACCACGCGGGCTGGCTCCCGGCCTCCCCGGCAGCAGGCAGGGCCGCCAGAGCCACGTGCCTCCTCCAGCCCTGGCCCCTCATTAAACACATTGAGAATTAATGTGTTTATTTCTTTGTAAACAAAACACGTCAAGATAACCAGATTCTCGGGGCGCCTGGGTGGCTCAGTCGTTAAGCGTCTGCCTTCGGCTCAGGTCATGATCCCAGGGTTCTGGGATCGAGCCCCGCATCGGGCTCCCTGCTCAGCGGGAAGCCTGCTTCTCCCTCTCCCACTCCCCCTGCTTGTGTTCCCTCTCTCGCTGTGTCTCTCTCTGTCAAATAAACAAAATCTTTTAAAAAAATAAAAGTATTGGGGCACCTGGGTGGCTCAGTCGTTAAGCGTCTGCCTTCGGCTCAGGTCATGATCCCACGGTCCTGGGATCGAGCCCCGCATCGGGCTCCCTGCTCAGCGGGGAGTCTGCTTCTCCCTCTCCCGCTGCTGCTCCCCCTGCTTGTGCTCTCTCTCTCTCTGACAAATAAATAAAACCTTAAAAAAAAAAAAAAAAGATTTCCATGCTACTGCGGAAAGTCCCTTGACTATCCTCTTTGTCATTCCCCATACTCTTGTGGATTATTCTAATTGTCTTAGCATCTATAAGACCAAAAAAGGGGGTGGGTGCCTGGGTGGCTCAGTCGTTAAGCATCTGCCTTCGGCTCAGGTCATGATCCCAGGGTCCTGGGATCAAGCCCTGCATCGGGCTCCCTGCTCAGCGGGGAGCCTGCTTCTCCCTCTCCCACTCCCCCTGCTTGTGTTCCCTCTCTCGCTGTATCTCTCTCTCTGTCAAATAAATAAAATCTTAAAAAAAAAAAAAAAAAAAAAAAAGATAACCAGATTCTCTCTCCTGCCTTTAGGAGAATTCTGGGCACAAACAACATTAACATTCAGTGTTTACTGAACACGTTGTGGCAGTTCGGATCCGACAGTCTGTAGTCTGGTGTTCTGCCAGGCTCACTTCCGGACAAATGGAGTCCACTATGTGGGTGCGGACACTGGGAGAAGGAACCCTCTGCACTGTCTTCGCAACTTGCCTGCACATCTAGAATTAGTCCAAAATCAAAGGCTTTTAAGTTCAACATTTAGTGTTTCCATGGTTGGAGCAATCCTGTTGTAGGACCACGAGCCACGCTGCTTCTCTAGAATCTTGTTTCTTCCAGCATTTCACGTCCTGAAAAGCTCCCTTGCTCCTCGGTGGCCACGGAGGCGGCACGAGGGACAAAGGATGGTAAAGAGTCACCAGACACAGAGCAGTTTGTCTGACGTTTACATGTGTGGAGCTGCCTCGACTCAACCCACACTTGGTTTTGTGGCAAAATGGCTCGGTTTTGTGTTTTTAAGATTCAGATGGCTGGCCCCCACTGGATGAGTCACCTGTGTCATTGAGTCTGGGTGAGGGGTGAGGGATGAGTGGGCTGTGGAATGATCCAGAAACTGATAGTTCGGGGCAAAGGCCAGGAACAGCCAGCTCAGGGAGAAGGAAATCTCAGTGGCCCGCACACACGTGGGGAGACAGCTACAGCCCACACCGAGGACCCGCTCTCCCCATCAGGCTAGCGAGACCCCTCCACATGACGGGTGGGGCAGAAGGGGACATTTGCCCTTTGACCCGGCACTCACCGCTCCAGAAATCGGTGCTGGCTGTACCTGAATGGATGTGTGGCAGCAAGGTGCCAGGTGGCTCCTGTGCCAGGGCAGGTAAGAGCAGGGCTGGAAACGCCAAGGCCCACCTTGAGAGCGCTGGCGGGTCGACCCCGTGGTCCCCTCCAAGTGCAGAGAAACCCTGTCTGAGGGTGGAGTGGCCAGACCTCCTCACGGGCAGACCCAGACGGTCACTAGAATGGGATGGCCACCTGGCCGCCAGATGTTCTAGTTGCGAGCTCTGTAAACTCTCAAAAACGGTTCCGGGAAAACATGCCTACCTCTCTACGTGGGGAACCACAAACAGGGCAAATTATTGACGCTTGATAAGTGAATTCCTGCATCTTTTCCATAACTTTGAAAAATTTAAAAAACTGTTTAAAATGACTATCTTATGGATGGAGACAGGGTGAGAGTGAAAGCTCTCTTAGATCTTTTTGTTTCTTTAACCATGTAACCATACCGTCTATTTTTCAATTTAATAATTTTCATATGACCATGGTAACAAACACAAATTTTAAAATTCCACTTCTTCTCATGGTTTGTCCCCACGGCAAAGGTGGCACAGAGCCAAGACTCAGGCTGGTGCTCCATAGGCAAGCACAAAGGAGCACACACGGGGGAGGATAAGACAGGAGGGAGCACGGGGAGGATGAGGATGGGAGGGAGCACGGGGGAGAATGAGGACAGGAGGGAGCACGGGGAGGATGAGGACGGGAGGGAGCACGGGGGAGAATGAGGACAAGAGGGAGCACGGGGAGGATGAGGACAGGAGGAAGCATGGGGGAGAATGAGGACAGGAGGGAGCACGGGGAGGATGAGGATGGGAGGGAGCACGAGGAGAATGAGGATGGGAGGGAGCACGGGGAGGATGAGGACAGGAGGGAGCACGAGGAGGATGAGGACGGGAGGGAGCATGAGGAGCACGGGGAGGATGAGGACAGGAGGGAGCACGGGGAGGATGAGGACGGGAGGGAGCACGAGGAGGATGAGGACGGGAGGGAGCATGAGGAGCACGGGGAGGATGAGGATGGGAGGGAGCATGGGGGAGAATGAGGACAGGAGGGAGCACGAGGAGGATGAGGACAGGAGGGAGCACAAGGAGGATGAGGACGGGAGGGAGCATGAGGAGCACGGGGAGGATGAGGACAGGAGGGAGCACGGGGAGGATGAGGACGGGAGGGAGCACGGGGGAGGATGAGGACAGGAGGGAACACGGGGAGGATGAGGACGGGAGGGAGCACGGGGGAGAATGAGGACGGGAGGGAGCACGGGGAGGATGAGGACGGGAGGGAGCACGGGGAGGATGAGGACGGGAGGGAGCATGGGGAAGGATGAGGACGGGAGGGAGCACGGGGAGGATGAGGACGGGAGGGAGCACGGGGAGGATGAGGACAGGAGGGAGCATGAGGAGCACGGGGAGGATGAGGATGGGAGGGAGCACGGGGAGGATGAGGACGGGAGGGAGCACGGAGAGCAGAGGAGAACGGGGTGGGAGCACGGCTACCCCAGAGAGGAAGGAAGGCCTGAAAAGGAGCCAGCAGTGTTTGAGGAGCACCCTTCTCCCCACACCGTGTGGACGGCGACCTGGAGCCTGGACGGAGGCAGCCGACACTAGCAGCTCGCAGCCCCGCCCCTGCCACGGCCCCGCCCCTGCCACGGCCCCTCCACGCGCCCGTCCTCCGTCCCGCAGTACAGCTGTATTTGTAACGGGGAAACCTGGAGATGTGAGGGTCTGACAGTGGAGAACTGCTCCACAACACGGAGTCTCTATGGTGAGTAAAGGGACTTAATTTGTTACGTAAGATAATTACTATAATAATAAGTTACATTAAATCAAAGTAAGACAGGTGGTGTCACACAGGGATAGAGAGGTATCAGTGGAACAGAATGGGGAGTCCAGATGTGCAAGCACATGCACGCGGCGG